TTTGTTTTTTACTTTTAGTTTTCTTGAGGAATTTCCACACTGAATTCCATAGTGATTGTACTAGTTTACATCCCCAACAGGAAAGAAACGTTTCTTTTTCCCCATAGCTTAGCCAGAATTTATTACTTGATTTTATGATGCTGACCATTCTTTCTGGGGGAAGATGGTTTAATAAGCTTGTTGTTTATATGTTTCCTAATTGGTCATAGATAATAGGTTCCTGGTGACCAGAATTATATAATGCTATGTTAAAGTCACATCAGTTTTATGCACCAGAGGGCAAATTGTGTTTTCAAAATTGCTTTCTATTGTGTAAACATAATTCTTCATATACAAGAGCCAGGCTCAGTGGTCCACACTTGTAATCAAAGCTGCTTAGAAGACGGAGGTAGGATTGCAAGTTGGAAACTGGCTCAGGCAACTGAGCAAGACACAGTCCCAGAATAGAAAACGGGGTTGGTGACAGCTTAGTAGTAGAGTGCTTGCCTAATGTGCATGAGGCCCTGGATTCAGGAAAATGAAACAATTTTTTTAAAATGTTTAAAGGAGCTTAGGCAGAAACTTTAGTTACAGTGGGTAACAGTCAACCAGAGCAGATTCAGTAGAAAAGTGATAACTTTATTTCTATTAATATTAATTTTATCTTGCCGAAATGCCTACCAATTCATAGTAGTTTCCTAGGTGATTACTTTACAAAAAAGAAAAGCAATTCAATTTTTTTTTCCTTTGGTACTGGGGATCAAATGGGGACCTTGCACTTGCAAGGCAAGCATGGATACCACTGAGCCAAATCCCCGGCCCCAAATAATATTTTTAAGAGAGCTCATTTTGATTTTTAAAAAGATGCAATGCTTACTTACATTTTGTGTATCCGCTTTCAGCCTTGCCCAGCCAGTTTTGTGTTTGTGAGCTTATGTAAGGGGAGTTATTCTTACACCTATCTCCATTTCTCAGTTTGCATAATTAGCATAGTAAGTATGTTTATCTTCCATCAGCCTTCAGTTTCTATCCTCTTTACCTTCCTGTTTATAAGAAGAAACTAGCTACTGTATTTAACTTATTCCTAGGGAAATTTTCAGATGTTGTTGCAAATTAAGTAGAAACCCCCACCCCCCATTATCCTTGAATGAGAAGGATACTGACATATACGGACCAGCTGCTGCTCTGTGCTGGTATTGCTATGGTGCTTTCCGAACATGGCCTTTGTTCATGGTCTCCCACTGTAGTTATTACAAAACAAACTTCCTAAGAAGCATGTCTTATGAGGCCCTGAGCAATCCAGACTGCCTGCCTGTCTGGTTGTATCTTTCATCACTTTCAGTTTTGTGCTTTGACTTGTCTCAGCTTCTTTAAGATGTCTCACTATGCCCAGCTTTCTCACATATTGTTCCTCTCTACTGACACTGGCTTTCTCCTTGTTCCTGTGTCCCTCAGAACAAAATCTTCCTTACCCTGCAGGCCTTGGTTTAGGCCTCAGTTCCTTGGGCACCTGCCCTGAACTTTTGTGAGACTCCAATGCATGAGAGTTGGTACTGTGTCATCCTGCTGTGTGTTTTATCCCTACCAACTAACATAGAGCTTAGTCATGCTTGCCAAATGGAGGAACAAGCAGACGGCCTTTGCAGATGGGTAATTTACCCCCACACGCACAGCTAGTCAAGTGGTGAGCTCCACAGTGCAGATGAAAGGTCACATCCCACTCTCTGTGTCTGTAGTCATTAAACACTCTGAGGAGGGTTGGCAAGCAGATTAGGTAACTGAATTGGAATAACGCCTCCAGTTAATTGATTCAGCAGGAGAACACAATGAAACCAATTTTCCATAAACCTGATCATAAAAATACTGTTTTTACTAACTTTAAAAGTGGCACATACCTGTACTCTCAGCACTCAGACAGATGTAGCAGGAGGATCACCATGAGTTTGAAGCTAGCCTGGACTACATAGTGAGTTCATAGTGAACTTCATAGCAAGACCCTGTCTCAAAATAATTTCAGGGGTGTTACTTTTTTATTTTAGACTAACACAAATTAAAATAAACTGCTATACAAAGTGGCAGCTGGCAGATCCAGTGTAGTTATACATTCTATCTCTCTTTCAAAGAACTCCACCCTTTTGAGACCTGGTCATTATTTATCTCTAGCATCATTTTTTGCCCTATATCTCCTCAAAATTTTTGCTCATTTATGTAGAAATATTTAAAATTTCTGACTGAGTGGTTCTCCTGTAAAACTCTTGCTCACGCCATTTCTGAGCATTTCTTTGCATATTCTAGTCTGTGGGCTTGTCTCCTCTAGGCTAGAAGCCTTTTTATAGGTCAAGCCTTTTTTTTTGGTAGTGGAGATTGAACTCAGGCCCTTGCACTTGCAAGGCAGGTGGGCGGAACCACTGAGCCAAATCCACAGCCCAAAATGTTGTGACTTCCTTGACCCAGACCACGAAGTTCTCAGTGTTTTCTTTTGTTTTTTTGGTACCGGGGATTGAACTTGGGTCCCTGTGCTTCTGCAGGCAGCAGAACCACTGAGCTAAATCCCCAGCCCCTGTAAGCCTTTTTAGGACACTTAATACCTCACAGGCATGCATTCATACATCAGAATCACTGAGCTCTGACATAGTTCCTAGCACATACTGTGGTTATGTAGGACATTTTTTAAAAAGGCTAAAACAGTCAGACCTGGGCCTCAGAGCTAATTGCGTATGAGGTAATAAATTGATGGTAATACAGAGCAAGAAGCAAGTATACAGTAATTATTTTAATTTTCTTGTTCTGAGCCTGAAGAATTTGACTTGTGGTTTAGGTTATTTTTTTGCGGTGCTTGCAGTTTTCCAGCCCAGTTAGTTATCTCTTTAATTCTTTGAACCAAAGCAGGTAATGGGTTTATGGTTTTACCTGAATTAAAGGAAAATGTTCTGCAAGATTAGTTAATCTCAATTCAACCCCTTCTTTCTCTCTCTGTTTCAGTGCTGGGGGAGTGAGGGTTGAACCTAGGGCCTTACTGTACCACTGAGCTTGTATACACCTAGCTGCACAAAATTTTTAACCTTAAAAATTTGAATAAATTCATTCAATTCGCAGATTATAAAACAAATCTCCCCAAATCATATAGAAGGGTTTGTCCTGCCTCAGACCAAGTCCCCTTTTTTTGGTGGAACCAGGGATAGAACTCAGGACCTTGTGCTTGCTGGCATGGTGCCACGGAGCTACATCCCTGGCCCTGCCTTCTTTTTTTTTTAAATAACTTTTATGCCTTATAAGTTTAGAGCCTAAGAATAATTATTGACTTATGTTTCCCTCAGCTTTTGCTTCCCTATATTTGGCTGTAACCTCCTCCCCTGTGCTTTTCTCATTTAAGCCTTGTTTTCCTGAAGTCACAGCCAGGCTGTATGCACAGTGCGTTTTTCACAATTCTTTTCTGACTGAGAATGAAGAAATGATGCTGTGCCCTCTCCTGTCCTGTTTATAAAATGTACCCATGTTGCATGACCATCTAGCTCTTCCACTAAAGCCATGGATCTCTCTATTCTAAGGGCTGGTGGTTACCCCCCTTCAGTCCCCATCACCTTGCTTACTGCTTGGCACACAAGTTTTTAACAAGATCAAGATCATTTCCTTTTAAGTAGAGCCTAAAAAGTACTTGTAAAAATCACTTGTGGCAACCTCTCATGAGGTGCTCTGTTTCAGAGATGAGGGAAGATACACAAGCACTTTGTATTACTTGAACATAAGTAGTTAAACCAGAATTTGGATACTAATTAAGTTCAGAACAAAAAAATAGTAATGTTAAAAGGTTCATCAGGGTTTTATTTTTAATAAAAAGCAGCTTAAAATTAGCTCCAGAGTTAGGCTGTTTTCTTTTTTGCAAGCTTTACCCAGTACAGTAGATCTTTTACTTTGAGATTCCTAAGAATGCGAATGTTTTGCTGGTGTCAACATCGAATGTGTAATCGATGAACAAGAACTGAAAAGTCATTGTTGTAGGCAGGTTCGAGAACTTCTTTTTTTCTAATTCCACACAGACACGTCTTCGGCCTCTGAAGATGAGGGCTCTCTGAGACGCCAAGCTGCGCTCTCTGCTGCCTTGCAACAGAGCTTACAGAACGCTGAGTCCTGGATCAACCGTTCAATTCAGGGATCGTCCACCTCTTCCTCCGCATCTTCTACGCTGTCCCATGGAGAGGTCAAAGGAACCAGTGGGTCTCTAGCTGATGTATTTGCCAATACTCGAATAGGTAGGAGCTGGATCTACTCAAGAAGTCCAAATTATGTTCTACCTGGCATCCAGTACCCAGGGAACAGTATATGATTTGTGTTAGATTTTTTAGTGTGGCCTAAGAAAATATAATCGTAAAGAACTTAACAGTTAATGAAGCAAAGAAGGAAACACCAGCAATACATTTGTTGCAGAAATGATAGGTATCATTTGCATTATTGGTGCCTTAATGTTGCCCAACTGAAGCCATATCTCTTTCCATAAGCAATACTCGAGCTGCAGGATATAACTCCAGTCTTAACATGGACTTAGCCCTGTTAAAGAATATTCCTTATATTAAAAAGTATTAAAATATGTAACATCTTACATTTCTCAGGATTATTATGTATGGTCTATCCAGCAAAAAACATTGAACCTGAACAAATTCTATTCCAGCCAGTATCAGTGAGCCCTTTTGTCTTCGGCATAAAGACTGGATTTATTGTCCTTGCTGCTTATGATCTCCATTTTTTTTTTTTTTTTTGGTACTGGGGATTGAACTCGAGTCCTTGTGCTTGCGAGGTAGGCAGTGGCACCACTGAACTAGATCCCCGGCCGTAGTGCTATGATATTGCTACATCTGGAATGTGCAGGCTGTGGATGTTGGTACTCTGTGAACTGCTACCTGCTGCTGTGCTGCTGTATGGAGTGTAGCTTTTGCTTGGCTCTGCTTTATGTTTTTATTTGTTCTTTAAAGAGCTGTGACATCTGCAGAAAAAGATACAAATCTTTGTTTTTGCTTGATTGATAGTACAAATTGCACTAAGTAATTAATACACATTGACATCATATATCTATGGTATCTTTCCTTTTTTCTTGTCACATTTTGCTCTTAGTTTTCTTCTCAGTGACCTTTTATTTATTAACTGATTTCTAAAAGTAAAAAGTTAAAACTGTTTCAATTCAGGATTATAATTTTAAAATAAAATAGCTACTATGATTGTCCATACTAAAAGCCATGTTCCAGCTGTGGATGGTTGTCCCTTTGCTCTTGACTCTGCCCTGTAGTTCATTGAGCCTGCTAGAGCAGCTATGTAAAAATACACGTTCACCACCTCTTCTTTCATGGAGGGTAGGCGACAATGCCATGGTTGATGAGCTTTTATTTCTTTTTTTCTTTTTCTTTCTTTTTTTTTTTTAGCTTTTATTTCCATCTGTCTTAAAAGAGAACAATTTCACTTGCAAAAAGTATTATCTTAATATCCACATAATATTATTTGCACTTTTGTTAAGATTTCTTTCATCTGATCTCTTATTTTTCTCTTGCTTTCGTGACTTTGTGAAAAGTTATTGGTTTAAATTACATGAACCATCTTATGCAATATTATTGACTTTTGGATGTTTGCTCTAGAGAAGTAATTCATTTTTCTGATAAGGAAAATTCAGAAACACAATAAAAGAAAAATAATCTATAATCTCATTTCCTATGAATAACACTGTAGTATTAGGATTTTGGTGTGTATTCTAGACTTTATTTATGTATGAATATGTATGGCTTTGGTTTTCAATTTATAGAAATGAAATTGTCCTGAACATAATTTCCATTAATATCTTTTCTTAGCATTATATCACAAACTTTTTTATGATTATAATTATTCTATTGTATCATACACATTTTGAGGGAGTTCTGGGGATTGAACTCAGAACCTTGTGCTTGCCAGGCAGCCACAGCACCACTGAGCTAAATCCCTGGCCTGTACATCTTTTTTAATATACCATTGTATGACTTGCCTTGATTTATTTAGCCATTCCCTATTTTGGATATCTGAAGAGTATCCGGTCCAGTTATGGTGGTGCACACCTATAATATCCACCCTTGGGAGGCTGAGGAAGGAGGATTGCCATGAGTTTGAGGCCAGCCTGTGCTACACAGTGAGTCCACGGCCAGCCTGAACTATGTAATGAGACATTGTCTCACAAAAAACAAACAAGGGCCAGGGATTTAGCTCAGCGGTTCCACCGCCTGCCTTGCAAGCCCAAGGACCGGAGTTCGAACCCCGGTACCAAAAACAACAACAACAACAAAAGAAGTATCCAACTTTTTACCATTATGCAGACTGCTAGAATAAACATGCTTGAACATATAGCTTTGTGTATTTATATGCTAATTTTGTTAGGATATATTATTGTAAACTGTAAGTTGACTTAAAATGTGTGTGTGGGTGTGTTTGTACATGCATGTGTGCTGGGAATTGAACTCAGGGAGTGCTAAGATACATTCCCTGCTTGTTTGGTTTGTTTTGTTATTTTTGTGCTGCTGCTGCTGCTGCTGCTGTTGTTGTTTTAAATTCTTGCCTAGACTGATCTTGAACTTGTAATCCTTTTGCCTCTGTCTCCCAAGTAGCTAAAATTTCAGGGATATGCCACCACACCTAGTCACAAATGTGCACTTCTTCTCGCCTCGCCTCGCCTCGCCTCGCCTCGCCTCGCCTCGCCTCGCCTCGCCTCGCCTCTCCTCTCCTCTCCTCTCCTCTCCTATTCATGTGTATGTGTGCACCAGGGTTCAGACTCCAGACCTTGTGCTTGTGAGGCAAGTAGGGCACCACTGAGCTAAATCCCTGGCCCCAAAATTTGCACTTTTAATTCTTTCGTTCGCATTCTATCCTACAGAAAGTTATACTGCAATATACTTATGCTCACGAGGCATGGTGGCACATGCCTTACAATCCTAGCACTTGGGAGGCCAAGGCCGGCTGATCTCCAATGAATTTGAGGCAAGCCTGAATTACACAGTGAGGCCTTGTCTCAAAAACACCAAATTTTTAAAAAATTCTGTCAGTCTACCTATGTACCTATGCTAGTATATTTCACACTTTTTTTTTTTTTTTCATTTCACACTTTTTAAAATATTAAGCCAGTAATTACAGATCTTTGTAGGCATAAAATCCCTACTTCAAATTGGTATTTTTATTTATTTATTTATTGGGGTTTTGGGGGGTGGTTTTTTTGAGAAAGGGTCTCACTATGTAGTTAAGACTGACCTGGAACTCACTATGTAGCCCAGGCTGGTCTTGAACTCACAGTGATCCTCCTGCCTCAGCCTTCTGTGTGCTGGGATTACAGGTGTGCACCACCATGCCTGACTCAAGTGGGTATTTTTAATTAAAATTAAAAGTTTTGTTTTGTTTTTTTCTGGTACTGGGGATCAAACTCGGGCCCTTACAGTTGGGAGGCAGGCAGTGGAACCACTGAGCCAAATCCCTGGCCCTTTTTTTTTAAGTTTCTTGAGATAGGGTCTCACTATGTACTTCAGGCTGGCCTTGAACTCACTATAGCTTTGTAGCCCAGGCTGGCCCCAAACCTGCTGCAACACCCCTGCCTCAACCTCCTGAATGTTGGGATTACAGGTGTGCATCACCCCTTCCAGCCCTCAAACTGATTTATATTATGCTTTTTTCCTTTTTGATAGTTTTTAATGACTTCATTATTTTTATGGCATATATTTTATTTCCTCTAATTATTCTTATTTCTCCAGATGTTTTGTTTTTGTGTTTTTTTTGAGACAGACTTAAATTATCTAGATTGCCCTCAAATTCAGAATCCTTCTGCCTATTCATCTAAGTTTTTTGTAACACATTTCTTTTGAATTTATCTCTTCTAACTTACAGCATTCACTCTGTGTTGAGTCTTTTTTGGGGCTGTGGATTTAGCTCAGTGATTCTGTCACCTGCCTTGCAAGAGCAAGGTCCCAAGTTCGATCCCCAATACTAAAAAAAAAGATATGATGATAATATAAAATAAAATAATATCATTTTTTAAAAAAAGTCTTTTTTTACTTAAAGCCAGAAAAGTTATTGTCCGTTAAGTAGACTCCGTTAAGTAGACTCAAGTTAGAAGTGGATTTTACGTGGTTATACTTTGCCTAAAAACTCGATTGATCTGATCCACCCCCAAGACACTGTTTTGGTCTTCAACGGGAAAAGAAACATTCAAATAAAATGTAATCCTGAAGAAATGTTCAAGAGACTAGAATATTAGTAGCCAATTAAGATCCTAGTTAGTTTCACCTTGAAGTCAACTTTTACTGACTTCAGATGCAACTTTTTTTTTTTTTTTTTTTTTTTTTTTTTGGTACTGGGGATCGAACTCAGGCCCTTGCCCTTGCAAGGTAGGCGGCAGAACCATTGGGCTAAATCCTCGGCCCTGAGATGCAACTTTTTTATTTTGATTATCTTTATGACGTTGATTTCTGCTTGCCTTCCTCGATGGAAAATAATGTTTTTGAGAAGCATTGACTGTGTGATTTGATCTAAAGCTACCCAAATCTTGAAAATAATAATTTTAGAAACTTCATATATCCTGGCTTCATTTCTTGTTTTCTCATTATAAATTGCTAGTAGAATTTAATTTCAAAGCTTATTCAACAACAGCTAATGACCTATTTATGTAGTTTGTAAAGAAACAAAAAGGGAGGTTTCTTATTTTTGCTGATAATGGCATATGATTCTCAGTTTTGTTTTCTCCCCTCTTAGAGAATTTCTCTGCTCCCCCTGATGTCACTACAACTACCTCTTCATCGTCTTCCATACGCCCAGCAAATATTGACCTGCCCCCCTCTGGAATAGTTAAAGGCATGCACAAAGGATCCAACAGGTCCAGCCTTATGGATACAGCTGATGGTAGGGTTTTTTTTTTGTTGTTTTTTTTTGTTTTTTTAGTAGTAGTAGCTAAATAGTAAGTATAAATTAAACTGAGAAATTCAAATTGTAAACAGTAGCTATTGACAGACTGGCTCAGCCATTGCAGAACCATACAGCCTTGGCTTCTTTGCAGCAGGTCATCCAGAGTGCTCCTCTCCACACTTGTCACACTTAGTCAGGGCTTCCAAGAGGTACTTTGAACTGAAAACCAAGTGTGGAAAGAGAAAAGAATGCTGTAGGAGAAGAGGAATGGGGGTGTGCCGGAGGTTGAACTTGGGACCTTGTGCTTGCAAGGCAGGTGGCAGAACCAAGAAGAGGGACCTTAAGTGAAATCTTTGAGCAGCATATTAATAGTAACACTATAGGGCCGGGGTTTAGCTCAGTGGTTCCACTGTCTGCCCTGTAAGCGCAAGGACCCAACTTTGATCCCCAATACCAAAAAAACAAACAAAACAACAAAAAATGATAACACTATATTTGTTTTTTTGTGTGTATTTTTTTGTGTGTGTGTGTGTGGTACTGGGGATTGAACTCGGGTCTCTTCGCTTGTGAGGCAGGCCACCGAACTGCTGAGCTAAATCCCTGGCCCACACTATATTTGTTCTTTGTTGTAAAACTTGTCATTTACGCATTTATACCTGTTTGGCCCAGTTGAAGTAGAGTGATACTATATAGTCAAAGGCCAAAGGGCATTAGAAATAAAAGCTCATGAGGAAGTTGAGACACTAAAATACCTTCAAGTCATGAATTTTAATTGTTACCATTGTTTTCCCTTGTAGGTGTTCCTGTTAATAGCAGAGTATCCACAAAAATCCAGCAGCTTCTCAATACTCTGAAACGACCCAAAAGGCCTCCATTAAAGGAATTTTTTGTAGATGACTCTGAAGAAATTGTGGAAGGTAGTAGTAAAAACCTATATTAGTTAAGCAAATATTTCTGAAGCAGTTACTTAATACGTGTCAGTTACATGGGTTCAAGGATGAACAAGATTCTTGGTTCAAAGAGTTTGCATTTCTCTGTTGTTTTTGCCCTAGAATCATTTATGTTTTAGATCTCAGATGAAAGGTAAGAAAGGAAGGAAGGGAAGAAGGGCAAAGAGTTGAGATAACTATTGAGCATTATTATTATTATTATTATTATTATTGTTGTTGTTGTTGTTATTACTATTATTTTTTTTTTTTTTTGGTTTGGGGATCACACTCCTCGTGTTTCCGAGGCAGGCGGCAAAAATTATCTTTGTTAATATGCTCTTGAATTCAGGACTATCACAGGGGTCTAATTTTAAGTTATTTACACTTGGTATTTCTCTAGGATGTGGATATCAAATTCAACCCAAAAAGTTTTTTTGGTTTTTTTTTTTTAAGAGTAGGAAAAATTTATTGAGGGAAAAAGAGTTTCTGTCTAAGAGACTCAAGCAGGACCAGAAAATGAGTTGCCCGTTCACCCCGCTTCTCCAAGATGTTTTATACAGCAAAGCCATGTGGTGAGGCAGTTACAAAGTGGGACAAAACTATAAGACCCAGCCAGGTGTGGTGGTGCCCTCCTGTATTCCCAGCACGAGGGAGGCTGAGGCAGGTGGATCACTGTGAGTTCGAGACCAGCCTGGGCTACATAGTGAGTTCCAGGTCAGTCTCAACTACATAGTGAGACCCTGTCTCAAAAAACAAAAACAAACAAACAAAAAAAATGTAAGACTCTGGAAAATTACAAGGTGGGCGTGGGATGGGGCAAAACCATGACCAACCAATAAGATTACAAGTACAGTCACCCAGGTAATATTGATTAAATGGGGGTCAAACGGGGGAGCAAGTCGCTTAGCAAGGGTAGGAGGATTTTCAGTAAGGGTGGGGGTCAGAGATATTTCCAGGAAAGGCCAGGTTAAGACCTATTTAGAGTATCAATTACTGCTGTTTATCCCCAGGGGAAGCATAAAGGTATAGTAGTTTCTCTCCTTTTACAATTCTGTGTTATGTTTTTTGTTTTGTTTGTGGTACCAGGGTTGAACTCAGGCCCTTGTGCTTGCAAGGCAGGCAGTGGAACCACTGAGCCCAACCCCGGGCCCTACAATTCTGGCCTTCAGTCAGTGTTTACAACCCAAAAAGTTTGTCCAGTCTTTTTTTCATATAACACAGTCAATTCATTAAATCAGCCAATCACACATATATATCTGTCTGCCTTCTGCAAGATAGTGTGGTAGAGATGATGAGAAAGGTTCACAGATTTATTAGGAAATCACTTCTTTCATGTTTGTGATTTATATACCAGTGCTAAAATATATACATGTAGAAACAGTGTAGCCAATGAGTTTTTTAGCACATATAGGCACTTTAGAAGTGAGAAGAAATTAGTTCCATCTGTGTGGTTAGAGAAGGCTCCTCAAAAGAAGTAAATACTAGAGCTATATTTAATAATTTAAAAAATATTTACAGATGGAGTCATGATTTCTAAGATAAATAGGGGAAAATAGGAGGGGAATAAGTATCAGTATAAATAAAATGAAATGACCATTTGATTACTCCTAGCTAGGTAATGAATAACTCTACTTAATAAAAGCTTTTGTCAAGAAAAAGTGGAACTCCTGTTGACAGAACCCAGCCTTGGTGTCTTTGTAGTTCATTTTCATGTCCTGAGTCAACAATAGCAGCACCTCACAATCTCATACCCATCCTAGAGATTGAACTCAGGGAGTGAACTACATCCTCAGCTCTTGAAATGTGTTTTGTTTTTAGACAGGGTCTCACTGAGTCACTAGGTTGCCCAGGCTGACAACCTCCTGCTTCAGCCTCCTACAGTGTTAAAATTATAGCCACCACACTCAGACTTTTTTTTTCCCATTGAATTAATGCCTTTGCACCGAGCTATAGCCCCATCTCTTTTCTTTTCATTTTTTATTTTGAGATAGGTTCTCACTAAAGTTGCTAGATTGTCTAGGCTGGGTTCAAATTTGCAACCCTCCTGCCCCTCAGCCTCCAGACTCTTGAGATTAGAGGTGCACATCACCACACCTGACTTAATAGTAGCTTTGATCACATTAGAGAGTTGATGGATTTAGGCATAAATGCACATTGGTAGACTAGTTCTTAGCTTAATTCATGTGGCAGAAAGCAAAAAAGACAACCTGATACCTTTTGGGTTTTTTGAGACAGTATCTCACTGTGTAGTTCAGGCTGGCCAGGAATTCACTGTGTAGCCCAGGCTGGTCTCTAACTCGCGGTGATCCTCCTGGTTTATTTTATTTTATTGTGTTTTTAAAACGTGAGGTTAGGATGAGATTGTGTCTCTTTGGTGTCACTAAACCCACTGAACTATGGATGTACTGATGTCTAAGGTACCCACACTGGGAACAGCCTTTCTAGTCTTTCTAGCAAATGAAGGTGGAGGTTTAATAGGAATCATACTTGAACAATTCACATCGGTAGAATACACCTAACATCATTCTAGTAATTATAAATAGGCAGCCCTTGCTTGTTTGATTAGTTGCTACCTTTGGAAGAGAAAAATAGCAATGTATCTTAGAAGTTTCAGAGGTTTTACCCAGAGCTTGTGTTGAGCCCTAATGCAGGGTGGCAGTAATGCAGACACTTGTATCCAGAAAGCCACACCACACATATGTAGTCTGTTCATAACACTAGAGTTATTGAGAATCATCGTGCCTTTTTAAAACTGTAAATGATTCAATTTAGAACCTGCTACTGTATGAAATAGAAGGGTAGCAGAGACTTTATCTAGGGAAGTGAAGCTATTTCTTAAGCTTGGTATCAGTGGAAGAATGGATCGAGGCACTTTAAGATTCCTTAATCTGTCATTCATTTAGCCTTAAAAGCACTGTTTATTTCCTGTTTATTTTGCCTATCTAATACTTGCTGCTTCTGTCTTTTCTCCCCCACCCACTTTTTGGAGGGGTCACTTCGTTTATGTCCCTTTTACCTGGCAAATTCCCTGTCTGTCCGTTAAGACAGCTTAGGCTTTACCTCTTCCAAGTGAATGTGGAGTCCCTCCTCTCCCCAGTGTGTCTTCGCACACTGTTCACATTGTCCTAGCCTTTGCTCTGAGTGTGTCTATCCTAGTGTATGGTGGAGGCTTGGGCCAAGTACATGTTAGATGCATAAATGTTTGTTTAATGTATGGTATCTGCAGCATTTATTTCCTCAATGATGTTTGTCATGTTCTTTGTATACAATTAGCCCTTAGTAAATACTTGACTATTTGTTCCATGTAGAAATTATCTTTGCATTTATAAAAATACAGAATTTTAAAAATCATTTGAGTAATGCTCATTGTAGAAAAATTAAGAGAACTATAGTTTGATTTGTGTCAGAGTATGTGAAACATTAGCCACCTCCAGACCTCCTTCACCTTCAGACCTCCTTCTTGGAATAACCATGTTAACAATCCAGCTTCTGTTTGTTCTTTGTTTTTTGGGTTTTTTTTTAATTCAGTTGGAATCAACTTAATGTTGTTGAGCAACTTCTATGTTTTAGGCCCTGGAGGCAGTAAGGGGAAGAAGACCATTTCTTCCCTCAGGAAGCCCTCAGTCTCTGGTGTCAGGAGTGGCGCTTAGTGCTTTAATAGTGGGTGGAGATGGTTCCCAAGGAATGTGCTTTTGGAGCCAGTGCTGAGGATGAGTGAGAGTTCACCAAGAGTCAAAGGGATCATTGTGCAAAATTTGTGCAGATGTAGAGACCTGGAATGTTTGGTGTTGCCCCTTATCTACTTGAGTCTAATAATGACACAGTACTGTTACTGTTACGGGGCCCATTTTACAGATGAAAGCAAAGCTCAGACAGATTACTCTGCTTAGGGTTATACTAATAAGAAGTGAAGGTAAAATTTGGTTTTCTGACTATAGTTTAATGCTTTTTCATTTTAACTTAACCCTGTGCAATGCAGCCTGGCTCTGTAACACTGGGCATAAACTGTAAAGCATCAGGGAAAGAGTGAAATTGTTGAAAAGAAATTTATACTTTTGTGTTTTTCTGTGTGGGGTCAGGATTTGTTTACTGCATAAAACATGTTGAATATGATTTCACTATTGCGTGGAAAATTGAATTAAGGCCCAATGTATAGATTATTTTGTTATATCAGATAAATATGAAGAGAAAAGGAAGATGTATTTGCAGTTAGAATTGTTTGTTGGTACTTGGTATTATTTCATCTCATTTCTTTTTGGTATAGTACCTCAGCCAGACCCCAACCAGCCCAAGCCGGAGGGGCGACAGATGACACCTGTGAAAGGAGAGCCCCTGGGTGTCATCTGTAACTGGCCACCTGCTCTAGAATCTGCCCTGCAGCGCTGGGGCTCCACTCAAGCCAAGTGCCCCTGTCTGACTGCACTAGATGTGACAGGGAAGCCTGTTTACACGCTCACATATGGTGAGTACCCCGAGTCGCATTCTTCTGTTTCCTGACAGTTCCTCTGAGTGTCATGGATAGTATCTTTGCCTCGATACCTAGCACTTGTTGGTCGTTATGTTTCAGAGGATCTTTCCAGTTACATAATAGGATCCTAAGTTCTCAGTAAAGCTTCTGTCAAGTATTTTTACTTGCAAATGTGACACTTGCAAGCCACTAATATTTAAAGACTACAAAAAAAGAGAAAGAGACTGTAGATCTAATGATGCTTTACTGTTGGAAGAGGATTTATTTTAAAGTTTAGTCATTATTAGTGGTTATGGAGAAAATAGTCGTTTTATCTAAAAATAGAAACTAATTACTTTTTTAAACTGTCCTCCATTTTGCTCATAATAGGCACACATTTACTAATGAACAAAGAATCAGTAACTTTTCCATTTAAATTTCTGTCTGATTTTTTTATTTTATTTTTGAGGTTATTGAGTATCAAATCCAGTGTACCCAGTAACATGCTAGAGAAGCACTCTGCAACTAAGCTGCATTCCCAGCCCTTAAGGTTTTTTCTTTTTGAAATCTTTTCAAGAAAAATGGAATCACTCCTGGTTTATGAGATTTTTGTTTGCTTGTTTGTTATTTGTTTTTTGAGACTGGGTCTTGAACTCTTGGCTATCCTCCTGCCTCAGCCTCCCATGTGCTGGGACTATAGATGTACACCACTATGCTGACCTTGAGATATTGTACTATTAGTTTATTCAAGTAGAGTCCTTTTACTCTTTGCTATATCTTTGCCTATAGCACTGGACTAAAAATTGTTTTTGAGGAAAAATAAGTTTTTATTTAAAAAATTGTACAGTTTGGGGCTGGGGATTTAGCTCAGTGGTTCTGTCGCCTGCCTTGCAAGCACAGGGTCCTGAGTTTGATCCCCAGTACCAAAAAAAAAAAAAAAACTGTATAGGTTGACCTACTCTAAACCTTGAATGTACTTGTTAAGTAATTTGTATGTAAAAGTAGCAGCTATTTAAAATAGTGTGATTTGGGGCCAGGGATTTAGCTCAGCGGTTCAGTGGCCTGCCTTGCAAGTGCAAGGACCCGAGTTCAATCCCCGGTACACCAGCACTCAGAAGGCTGAGGCAGGAAGATCACTGTGAGTTCGAGACCAGCCTGGGCTACCTAGTGAGTTCCAGGGCAGTCTCAACTACATAGTGAGACCCCAGATAGATAGATAGATAGATAGATAGATAGATAGATAGATAGATAGATAGAATGAATGATTTCTTTTTCACTTCCCTCATAATCTAAAATAAGTATTTCTAAGAGGAGCTGGTTGAGTGGTAAGAAGAGGGAAAGAAAGGATTGATTTTTCTTTTTTCTTTTGACCAAAAGAGTTTAGTATTCACCTCAGAAGTATTAATTTTGTCCATATAACCCCCAAATCATGTAGCTAGCCAGATTTTGAATGTTTGACATCTATGAGTATATCCATATGTCTCAAACAGTCAATTTCCATTTCATTTAGTGAATTACAGTGAGAATGGTACAGAATGTTGAAATGTTTTGACTCATTCTTTTTGCTTTCTAGTTACCTAAACTATCTCATAGCATCTGTTGAGTTCTTTAGGCAATGCTTAGAGCAGAACTAGTCCTCTGTTTTTTTAGTCCTGTGGGGGAAGAAGTTGTTTTTCTTTCTTTAAATGTGATCAACTCATAACATTATTCCTAAGGATATTCACAGGAAATCAGAAAAAAAGGGTAATTTATTTTTGTTTCCAGGCAGGACTGGCTCTTAAAATGAAATGAATATGGAGTTTCTGTGGGAAGTGGGCTGGCTCTGCATTGGGAGAGGGCTGGTGCTGGCAAAGGCATCATCTGGAAGTACCCATTGTCTTATTCAACTTGTTGGTGAACTGAACGCTGTGCTGCTAAGTCAGCCTGTATTTTTTTTCATTATTTAGAGAATACTTTATTAGTTTCTGTAATCAAACCCACGTAGTTAAGACCTTACATATTTAATACAGTGCATTACCCCTGTACAAATGGAAAAAAAAAATTAACATTCCTAGACCTATATGGCTGTTAATTTCTGTACAATGCCAACTCAACACAGTAAACTGGGATAACTTTTTCCAAAGTTGATAGCACAGTTAAAGTTTCCAAAAACTCAAATTATATATATATTTATATTTATATAAAAAGACCAATAATAGCAGTATGTTATGCATCAATAGCAGCAACAGCTTTTCCAGGTTCTGCAGTCATCTGAACAAAATTATAAACATCTGGCACACTCCATAAAAAATGAAAACAAAAAAACAAAGAAAAGAATAATACCCGGAAAACGGCAAAGTTCTGTTACTGTTGTGGTACCTGGCACCATTTTTTTTATTAGCATCTTAATCATCATCTGGAAAGAGAACATTCTAGAGTAACATCATTAAAAACAGCTCTGATAAAGCACGGTCACTACTACGTATCATAAAGCAGGTACAAGATATTTTACATTCACAGAGGTATGATACAGTACTGTCCTACATCTATAATACTAGAGGATACAATTAAAAAGGCCTTATTTCAGACTTGATTCTACTTTTTCCAGCAGAGGGCCCCAAGGATGATATGACACAGCTCTGTAAAGAAATGTACTTTCTTAGATAGGGTTTCCTTTCATTAACGGCACAGTTTAATTTCTCTTCATGAACATCAGCTAAAAACTATTTTTAAAAAACCTGGGGTAAACACAAAACAACAGAAGAAGAAGAAGAAAAAAAAAGGATTCATACAAAGATGATTGAGTGAAGGTAAGCAGTACTCAACCTAACTAGTATTTTATCAAATCTGTCATGTTTGAGAGGTAAGAGCTCCACTGAAGAGAGAGACACCAAGTAGTAGTGCTTCAAAGCTTCAGACCACAACCAAAATTGCATCCTTCCAGAAAGAAGTTGTAGGCAGACATCACTCATTTGGGTATGTTCAAGGACGCTAACATCAATATTTAATCCTTGCTTGCACATCCACGAAGAAGGGGAGATCAGTTACTACTGTACTTTGATTTTTTCAAACCAATCACCATGTTACAAAAATAGCAAGCTGCCATAGAAAAAAATAAGGCTCCTCTATCCAGCACCAGTTATCTGCAGTTCTTCACCTCCAGACCTATAAACACTATAACTGCTATAACGGTACCCAAAGAACATAAGGGAGCAAAGAAACCCTATCTGATGTATTAGCTGGGACCACTATGTTGTTCAGGCTGAGCTATTAGCCTGTATTTTTTTTAATATGACTTTTTTTTCTTTATCCAGGAAAGTTGTGGAGCAGAAGTTTAAAGTTGGCCTACACACTGCTTAATAAACTGGGGACCAAAAATGAACCTGTGTTAAAACCAGGAGACAGGGTAATTGTTTTTTGTTTGTTTGTTTGTTTTATTTTAATTGAATTTTGGGGGAGCAGGGCTTTGAGACAGGGTCTTTCTATGTAGTTCAAGCTGTCCTTGACTCACTATATACCCTAGGCTGGCCTCAAACTTGGTTTGATTCTCCTACCTTAGCCTCCTGGCTCCTGGGATTACAGGTGTGTACCACCATACCCAGCTCTGTTTTGGTTTTAGAAAGATAGTATTTGTTGTTTTCTAATATGAACATTCTGGGGCTTTAATAATGTACAACAGGAAATTTTACCTGAGTTAGATAAAAATGATGTCTGGATACAGTGGTGCACACCTATGATACCAGCTGAGAGGCTAAGGCTAGAGGATAATAAGTTTAAGTCCAGCCTTGGAAACTTAGTGAGAACCTGTCTCAAAATTAAAGAAAAACTAAAATGGCTAGAATGTAGCTCAGTGGCAGAGTGCCCCTCGGTTCAGTTTCCATTACCACAAAAAAATAAGAAAATTTAAATTGCTTAGTTCCAACCCAAGTTAGCCAAGTACCACAAGATGATTTTTCTAGTCAGAGACTAAGGGTAGTTCACACTCCCTTTTCTGAAGCTGCTCATTTTTAAACTCCTGAGGACTAATAAAAGAGAACTCTAAATCTTTCTGGAAATAAATACTTCAGTATTTAGAAAATAAAGGCAGTAAAACTTTGCACTCATTTTTTTTTTCTTTACAGAATGCCTCATAACACTTTTGCAGGGCAGGCGCCGGAACCACAGCTAAATCCCCGGCCCTGTCTTTTGTTTATTTGCTAATGGGGTCTCGCTACATAGTTCAGACTGGCCTTGAATTCACAATGTAGCTCATGTAACTCCCAATTCACGGTGTTCCTCTTGCATCAGCCTCCTGACTGTTGGGATTACCAGAATATGCCACCACAGCTAGCTTTTTTTTTTTTTTTAAATGGTAATGGGTATTCAACATTGAACCCAGAGCCTTTGCACTGAACTATATCCCTTTTATAAATTTATTTATGTATGTATTTATTTTAGTTTAATTTTATGAGACAAGGTCTCACTGTGTAATTTGGATTCACCTTGAACTTTCTATGTGGCCCAGAACTCACTGTAATCCTCTTGCATCAGCCTCTGGAATATTGGGATTACAGGTGTGTACCCCCATGCCTGGCTTCACTATTTATCTTTTGTTAATGAATTAACTTTATTTTTTTATTAATCTTATTTTATCCCATTCCCACCCTTAGGCCCCCCTGAATTAAGTTCATATCTATAATTGACTTTCTCTATGTATTATTTGCATTTTTTACCAAATACCCACATGGTAGAACACTTGCTTTGTTGTGTGGTTATGGATTAATGCAATGAATTAAAGAACAAGAGGCCTTATGTTGGCCCTGAGATGTTAACTGGATCAGTCAACATTTGTAGGCTGCCTCTGAAATGTAAAACTTGTTCTTTAATATGCTGTTCTATCTAGAGAAATCCAGTATGTTTATTTTGTTGCTTTTAGCAGTGCACTAAAGTTTTGCTCTAGGTTTCTTAAGTAACATTTAAGGCGAGTTGTTTACTGTTACATCTCCAGTAGAATTAAAGGACAAATTCTTAGAATAATGGTAATGATGTATTTCTCAAAATATATAATCAAGGAAATGCTGGAGATACTTTCAGTTTTTGTGTTCATTGGTAATTTAATTTGCATTAAAGGGCCGGGGATTTAGCACAGTGACATTGCACCTGCCTCACAAGCATAAGGTCCTGAGTTAATTTTCATTAGTGCAAATTCCTATTAATTAGTTTGATTTATTGTGCTTATGTTAAGAACGGCGTTGAAAGTTAGTATTTCTCTATTATTGAATGTCTCTGTGGATTTTAGGTAGCCCTGGTTTACCCCAACAATGATCCAGTCATGTTTATGGTAGCTTTCTATGGATGTCTCCTCGCAGAAGTGATTCCAGTGCCTATAGAGGTACCACTTACCAGAAAGGTAACACTGCTAAATGGGGGTGGGGGGAAGCACTGTTATGTTTTGCTTTGGGTTTTTTTTGTTGTTGTTTGTTTGGTTTTTTGAGACAGGGTCTCTCACTATGTAGTTCAGGGTGACCTTGAACTCACTTTGTGGTCTAGACTGGCCTTGAATTCACAGCAATCCTCCTGCCTCATGCTCCCGAGTACTGGGACTGTAGTCGTGTGCCACCACGCCTGGCAGCATTGCTAAATTGAAGAGCAGTATAGCCCAATGTGACGTGTAAGCCATGTGATTTGTGTTGATTGATTTGATGCAGCCATGACATTAAAACAGTCTGACCATTTTCTGAAATACCAAGTTTCACTTTTTTTTTTTTGGTACCAGGACCAAACTCAGAACTTTGCACTTGCAAGGCAAGCAGTTGAACCACTGAGCTAAATCCCTGCCCACAGCTTCACTTTTTAAAATCACAAAATTTAAAAAAAAGGCGGGGGTAGCGCAAGGTCCTGAGTTTGATCCCCAGTACCAAAACAACTTTTTTTAAAAAGTGAAAAAAATAAAACCACAAAATTTGTAGAAAAATTATTTAAAATTTATGTGTCGTACAAATAACATTTCTAAGATAGAATGTTTTGTATCTTAATATATTTTTTGTATCTAGTGTATTGTATATCACTTAAAAAATCATGGAACCAGGTGTGGTGGCGCACGCCTGTAATCCCAGCACTGGGGAGGCTGAGGCAGGAGGATCACTCTGAGTTTTAGACCAACGTGGGCTGCATAGTGAGTTTCAGTTCAGTCTCAACTACGTAATGAGACCCTGTCCCAAAAAACCAAAATAAATAAATAAATAATAAAAAATCATGGAGGCATATTTGTCAATAATTTATGTTCATAAAAGAGTGCCACTCTTATTTCAGCGGTCTTTATAAAGAAATTTTCTTTAACCCATATCATAAGACTAGGTTTTCTGTTAAATGAGAGAACGATTCAGGGATGGTGTGTCCCCACTCTGGAATTACAAGATTCTACTTTAATAGCACATCAGTGCTATTGAATAAAGGGTTTGGGAAAAATTTCTATACAAACTGTTTATCCTAATTTTCTCAGTTTATTACTGAGAATTTATGTTAGTGATGAAATGGTGAAGACAGCAGATTTATAAGAAAATACTTTTTGAGAGGAATTTTTAAAACACATTGATAACATTCCTGAAGTTCTAGTTGATAGGATGTAGTATTCAGTTGGTCAGGAAATCATAGGGTTCTTAGAATTTTAGGTTGGCAGTGTTTGTGTGGTTTCATAAGGATACCTTTAAGGTGCCATTTTAATGGAAATACTTTAGATTTTATCCTTTGTTGTTAGGTTTTTTTTTCCTCTCTGCCATTATTTTAAAGCTTAAATCTACCTCCAAAACGTTCTCTAATGAAAGGAATGAATTAGTATAACTGTCCACTGACTTCCACTGTAAGTTTGGACATGTGACATGCGTTTGCATTATTTATTTTGATCTGAATTGCTTTCTCTTGGATATGGGGGTAGGGTTGGGGAAGATAATATAACCATGTCAGAATTTATTTCATTTGCCTAAAACTAGTCTTAAAAAGTCATTGCTGATCCTTGGATGAAATGGTCACATTTACCAGTGGGATTCAAAATTAGCACTGATAGGTTAATAAAATATGTGGTTTATACTTAGGAAGTTACTGTATTGTAGAAATTATTTGGAAGAACATATTGTCACTGCATTTTGATTTGCCAGCTATCAGTGGGGCTCCATGAATGTTGTCACAACAGTGCCAGAGATTAGGAAGTGCTGGATTTGTGGCCTGGGTGTGCTCATATTTTCTCCCCTACAATGCTTATTATCTTTTCTCCACAGGATGCCGGAGGTCAACAGATTGGCTTCTTACTAGGAAGCTGTGGTATTGCCTTAGCTCTTACCAGTGAAGTTTGTCTAAAGGGACTGCCAAAAACCCAGAATGGAGAAATTGTACAGTTTAAAGGTGATTATTAATATTTATATGGAAATTATCGATTAAAAGTTAAAATTTAGTGCCTTAATTAGCACTTTAATTTGATAACAGTTAAATACTTGATATTTTTAATTCTCACAATCGAGGAGTAGATACCATTATTATCCCCATTTTACAGGTGAGGAAACTTGAGAGACAGAGAGGTTAAGTAACTTGACCAACGTCTAAGGTAATAAATAGGCAGAGCAGCAGTTTGAACCCAAATCTGTCTCATTCTATAGCCCACAACTGTAACCTTTATGCTGATGGTTGGAAAGAACTGCTACTTTGTACATTAAAGCTACGTGCTACATGTACAGACAGGATAGGCCACTGGCCTCAGCAGATGTCCACTGCCAAAGGGACCTCTCAGTTGTTGAGATCATGTCAAGGCCTGGCATTAGCATGTGGGATTATGGTAATTTCTTTAAAGCCCCACCACCACCGGGGATCAAACTCAGGACCTCGCACTTGCTAGGCAGACTCTGTACCACTGAGCTACATTCCGAGCCCCTGGGGACTATTGTATTTTTGAAAGAAGGTATAATTGATGATTTATCATAAAAACTAATAAAATATTTTATTGATTATAAAATTACATTTGTTTGGGTTTTTAATATTTAAAATGACCGGTCCAGAGTGAATTCCTTCCTTGATGACTGAGGCAATTCACTTTTTACTTTGGGTTTGATTTAGGTTGGCCCCGGCTCAAGTGGGTTGTGACAGATTCCAAGTACCTGTCCAAGCCACCTAAAGACTGGCAGCCCCACATATCACCAGCTGGTACAGAACCAGCATACATTGAGGTAAGTCCTGAGGTTGGGAACATACTTTCTGCCTTTCCTTTGGCCTTGGTCACAGTTTTAACATTAGAAGATCCTCTTGTTTTGTGAGATTTCCATGTTGTGACTTAAAAAATGACTGTATTAGATTTTCTGGTGTGATTATTTTGATCATAAATACTCAAGAAAGGTATCAAAAGTTGATTCTTTCATGTAAGAAAGTAAAGGACTTTGAAGAAGTATAAAGACCTAAATTATTTACTGACAGAAATTTCTGAGCTGCTTCTGTAGGAGAGTTGGGAACAAGGGAATGGAGAAATGACGAGGGAAGATAGCTTTGCTTGAAGACAAGTTCAACAGACAGAAAATAAGAACAAAAAGAAACAAATAGCTAAGAGTGGAAATGAATGTTAATGTAGGAACTCAGTTGGCTGAATGATGTAAATACAGGATCAAGTCTTACTACACACCAGCTACCAGGTTAAGTGCTTTAGATGGATTATCTCAGTCCTCCAGATATACCCTGTGAGGCTCAGACTTTTATGAAACCTGTTTTATAGATGAGGAGACTAAGACTTACAAAACTTAAGTAACCAAAGGTCACAGCAGGTCGGGTCTCTCTGACTGAAGCTATACCCTCCACCCTGCTGCAACCTACTTGAGAGATATGCTTACCAGCTGATTGCTAAATTAATAAGAAAAATCAATATTCTCTACAAAAGATTAGGGGCAAAGCATCACTCTCCCTTGAGTGCTGCAGTTATGACAAGTGTAAATGATTTAGGCTATGAAAGGGAGGGACAGTAGCTTTGAGAGGTGATGGAGTCATATCAGATGCGAGGATTGTTTTCAAAGATAAAAGAAGTTACGTAGACAAGCAACTAAAATAACAAAATTAGTGATCACCTTTCTGTCTCTATATAATCTGTCCGTGCTGATGCAGTTCCTTATTCCATTCTCATTAAAAATTCTGGCCCCAGGCTCCTTGGACTACTGCCTCAGTTCCTTAGCCCCCATTGATCGTTCCTTTTCAGTCTTCATTGATTTCTTCCTAAAAGGTGGAGCTCTTGCATAGCTCTCTAGCCTTGTGTAGAACTTACTATGCTCTATATTTCTAGGCTCCTGCTATTCTGAATTAATTTGGAATTCTTATTTTAGGTTCTCCTATTAGCCACAGGACTGTCCTAGTGAGTTTAAAATAGACTATAGAAAAAGGGAGCTATTGAGAAATTGTTATCAGGAGAGTAATGAGAATGAATGTGGTATAAAAAGATTTATCTTCCTTTTACAGTTATCCAAATTAGCTCAAGCTCCAAGTAGTGAGAATAGAGGAAAGCACAAATTGGTAATTAGGAAGGAAGTAGAACAGGCAGGACTTAATTGAATGACAGGGAAGAGGGAGAAGGTAAGATTCAGGTTTTTACTTGGCCACCTGCATTGATGGTGGGACCCTTCGCTAAGAAAACATAGCAAGAGTTTGCATGGAGAGAGGAGGGATGGTAAGTGCAGTGTTAGGTGCATTGGGATTCACAGAACTAAAGGTACTTCGGAACATTTGGCATTGTGAGTCTGGATCTCTGAAGGGATGGGAGAGAGACCTGGGAAATGTATTTCTGATAAATAAGGTGAAAGGACAAAGAACACAACTGTTAGGGAGCTCCAGCACAGAAGAAATGATCACAGATATTGAGATAACAATGAGAAAGAGAGGTCATACTGTCAAAGCCAAGAAAGGAGAAAGTGTTAAGAAAGAGTAGTAGGCAGGGCGTGGTGGCGCAAGCCTGAAATCCCAGCACTCAGGAGGCTGAGGCAGGAGGATCACTGTGAGTTCGAGACCAGCCTGGGCTACATAGTGAGTTCCAGGTCAGTCTCAACTACCCAGTGAGACCCTGTCTCAAAAAACAAAACAAAGAAAGAGTAGTAAAGGGCCAAGCATTTAGCTTATTGGTGCCATGCCTGACTCACAAGTTCAGGGGCTTGAGTTCAATTACTGGTACCACCCCCCAAAAAAAATGTATAGAAAAAATGGAAGCCACACCTGCCTTGCAAGAAAGAATAGTGGGCCAGGGATCTAGCCCAGTGGTTCCGCCACCTGCCTCACAAGCACAAGGTCCCGAGTTTGATACCCGGCACCAAAAATAAAAAAAGAAAGGCTAGTAAAAGCCAGCATGGTGGTGCATGCCTGTAATCCCAGTACTCGGGGCGGGCTGAAGGAGGAATATTACCTCAAGTTCAAGGCCAGCCTGGATTGCCCTCTATCCCAGAACAGTAGAGTAAATGGAGCTTTGGAGCTGAAAGATGGAATAGGAGCTTGCTCCATCCACTCTGTGCATGGACCCAGAGTAGCAGGGAGAATCAAGGAAAAAAAAAGCTGATAACCTTTGTAAGAGGCAACAGGAATGGAGCAGCAAGGATAAAAGCAAAGGACTAAATGGGCCATTCCTTGCCAGGTCTCCACTTATGAAACTGGGTGCTTCTAATGTACAGGGACCTTTAACTCTGCGGTCCTGTGCTTGACATGCTAATGACATGTCTCACTCTGTATCTGTGGGTTCCACATGAGGATTCAGTCTCAAAAATATTCAGAAAATGCCACCTTCCTGGGAAGTGTAAGGTCCCACATTCAATGCCTGGTACAAAAAAGAAAAAGAAAAAATTGGGCCGGGGGTTCAGCTCAGAGGTTCTTCGCCCTGCCTTGCAAGCACAAGGACCCAAGCTTGGTCCCCGGTACCAAAACAAAACAAAAAAATTCATCTGTACCAACCATATACAGATTATTGTCTTTATTCCCTCAACAATACAATTATTTAGTCAGCATTTACATTGTATTAGGTATTATAAGGAGCACAGAGATGGAAAATCTGTAGGAAGTTGTTCATAGATAAGACACTGAGCATCTGTATGTCCTAGTATCAAGGGGGGTCCCGAAACTAACCATACATAGATTCTGAAGGATGAATGTGTCTGCTGTTGGGCTGTTAATGTAGCTTAAGTCACTTACTGGAGCTTTTTTAGCCGCCACTTCACACTGATGACTAATTAAACTTTTAAGTCTTTTTCTCACATATTTTTTTGAGCTTTGTCATCCTCCACTTCTATCTTTATTTATTAAATTTGGGATCCAAGTACAAAGCCTTAAGTATTTATATTCAGAATGGTAAGCTCAGCTCTTTATGATGGTTTATCTGGGTTTTATTTTTGGATTCTCATTTTGTCATTTAAATTAGCCCATTTTGTCATGTTTCTTATATTTTGTTTTTGTTTTCTATTTCTAGTATAAAACCAGCAAAGAAGGGAGTGTAATGGGAGTTACAGTGTCCCGGCTTGCAATGTTGTCTCACTGCCAAGCTCTGTCGCAGGCCTGCAATTATTCTGAAGGTCAGACCTTGTCCTATGACTGCCCCATTGTCAGCCTCAGCTGTGTGTGACTATGAGCAGTGCTTGGTGATTGGATTCCATTTAATGACCAAATTCAGAGGGAAACATTCTAAGACATATTCGCTTGGCTTCCTTTTGTTTTCTTCTTTTTCACAAATATGCTGTTTTTTTGGGGGGGTTGTTTCTGGTTCTGGGGATCAAACTCTGGACCTTGCACTTGTGACACAGGTGGGCAGAACCACTGAGCTAAATCCCTGGTCCCAGATATGCTGTAATTTAGAGGAACTAAAGTTCTGCATGAACTAAATATGTAAAACATGATTTCTAGAATACAGAAATAAAAAAATCATAATTAAAACCATGTATTTACTAGCTGTGGGATCTCAAGTATCTCCATCTTCCCATGTCTACAGAGCTGCCAGATATAAAGAAATTGAGCTTCCAGCCAGGGATTTAGCTCAGAGGTTCCACCACCTGCCTCGCAAGCACAAGGACCTAAGTTTGATCCCTGGTACCCCCTCACAAAAAGAAAAGAAGTTGAGCTACCAAAAAGTACAAATTAAAAGTAACAGGGTGTGGTGGCGCATGCCTGTCATCCCAGCACTGGGGAGGCTGAGGCAGGAGGATCCCTGTGAGTTTGAGACCAGCCTGGGCTTCATAGTTCCAGGTCAGTTTCAACTACATAGTGAGACCCTATCTCAAAAAATAAAAAACAACAACAACGACAACAACAACAAAAAAAAAGCACACAAAAAGTATTCTGTAGTGTCAAACTATTTGCTTTAGAATGTTCTTTGCAATATTAATTTTTTTTGGTGTTTTCATTTTTGTTTTACAAAATGAAACTAGTTAATGTTTCCATTTTAGAGCAGAATTCTTTGATGAAAATATATGTCATAAATATATTTTTGTATACATATTTCAGCGATCAACATGTCCTGAAATGGAGATTGATTTAATTATAATGTATTCATAAAATGTATTATACATTGAGGCACTAAAAGTCATGTTCTTGAATATTAAAATACAGGAGAAATGGTTTCAGTACATCTTTTCTTTTTCTTTTCCCCTTTTTGAGACAGGGCCTCACTATGTAGATCACACTGGCCTTGAACTCACTATGTGGCCCAGGTTGGCCTCAAACTCACTATGTGGCCTTCTTGGCCTCGAATTCACACCAATCCTTCTGCCTAAGCCTCCGGAGTGCTGGGATTATAGGTGTGCTCCACCATACTCACGTCAATAGATTTAGAAATGCAAAAATAAATTAGATCTAGAAGTATGTGTCCACATATGTATGTAAACCATTATATTTAATTTCTGTAAGAAATACAATTTTTTAATATATTATTTGTAAAAATTCAAGAATTTCTTAAAATGTGTTCCTTGCCAGGCATAGTGGCACACACCTGTAATCCCAGTGCTCAGGAGTCTGAGGCAGGAGTAGGTAAGCCTCATATATAGTGAGTTCAAGGCCAGCCTGAATTACAAAAAGAGACTTTGTCTCAAAAAAAAAAAAAAAAGATATATATACATACATATATATAGATAAATAAATGAATGAACGAATTGATGTGTTCCTTATAATGGAAGGAGAAATGCCTCTTGAAGCCAGGCATGGTGCTGCACACCTGTAATCCCCAGGATTCCAGAGACTGAAGTGGAGGATCACTTCACGTTTGAGGATAGCCTGGAATAGATAGCGAGACTCTGTCTCAAAAACAACAGCAGCAAGGTGTGGTGATACACACCTAAAGTCCCAGCATTTAGGAGGCTGAGGCAGGAGGATTGCCATGAATTCAAGGCCATCCTCGGCTACATAGTGAGTTTAAGGCCAGCTTGAACGACATAGTGAGACCCTGGCTCAAAAAAAGAAAGAAAAACAACAAAGGAAACCTCTTGAAATAAATATCTAAATGATGAGTTTCTGTGCAGTGTCTCTGTTCTGACCATATCACCCTATTTTTGATCCTAAAGCCAGAGAACTTAAGCAGTCAAAAGAGCCTGAGAACTCCTAGTTCTCTAAAAGCACCAAATCATTTGTTTAGGAGAAGTAAAGGACACAGTATTGCTGCTTAATACTAGAAATAATTTCCTTGTTTTTTTCCTCTTTTTTCTGTTTTAGGAGAAACAGTAGTAAATGTTTTAGACTTTAAGAAGGACGCTGGACTATGGCACAGCATGTTTTCGGTAAGCCGCTCAGAATTAAGGCCTCTAGCATAAGTTGTATTTAAGATTAAGGCCAGCATGCTATGTAAGATGAAGCATCTCTCAGTGCCTATTTGACATTTAAACTCCCAAAAGAGTGGTAGTATTTTCTAGAGGACACCCACCCACTCCGTAGGACAAATTATATTGAAGGACAACCCTTTTTGAGCTATATGCTGCATTCAAAGAAGAGCATCACAAGGTAGATGTGTGTACTTTCTATAACAGAGGAACAGTGACATGTTGTGGATGTTAGAGAAAGGTGACTTCCTTCTGACTCTAGGCAGCAAGGCGTTTTTTATGTGGTCTTTGGAAAACAGTTAAGTTTAGCCATGAAGAGATTTGTTGGGGGGTGGGGAGTAGAGAGAGAGGGAACATTTCATATTTGTATGTAAAATGCCACGTAGGAGAGAGAAGAAATACAGGATCCTGGAATTGAAAAGGATCTTAGCATCTAGTCCATTTTCCTTTGATACTACAGGAGACTGAAAGGGGAGAAAATGAAGCATGAAGGGAGGAAAGAATCATCCCCTTTTGTCCAGGGAATTCCTCCACCCCAAATTGGGAAGAACTTTATTCCTCGAGTGTAACTACTACCTAGCTCTTTTTCCCATTTCATTTTTTAAAATCAGAAGCTAAAAAAAAATAAAAAACTATCTGAAGAGTTGGGAGGAAACTCCTCCCTGTTACACAGAATGCAAGTTAAGTACCTGTGTGAAGACTTGGCTATAAAAGACAGCACTTTGTCCTGAAACCAAAAATTTCTCACCAGAGATAGAAATTTAAGGAAGAAGGGACTGGTGTCCTGGTTTCTATGGGCCACTTGGATGGTGAGTGAAGTGACTGATCTGAGTATCAACCCTTGGTTACTCTGCCTGGCTCCATCTCTGGGAACATGACATCTGGGTGTGTTTGATCTTGGAGGCAGGACAGGCACCAAATTGCACGATGTTTACTTCCTCAGCCATAGCTGACCGCACACACTTTACAGGTCTGGGCAAGAAATGCCTGCGAGATGGGTGGCTTTGATTTCTCACCTTATAATACACCCAGCTTGGGTACAGTGGAAGCACTTCTGAGTGGAGTACAGTTCAGCCGCATCTGTTAGCCCTGTGATCCAGCTGCAGTACTTTACTGTGGGGATATATCACATTTGTAACTGTGATCATCTCTGGGGGAGAGTGGAGGGAACTAGAAATAGAGGGTGAGTATCAGGGAGCTTCTGTCCTCTAATTAATAACGCAAGATTTCTTTTTTACAAAGAGCACGTATTTGAGTAATACTTCTATAATTAAAATTGATAACAATGCCACCTCAGTTTGGAAATGCTGCAGTATGTATTTGGTATTGATTGCTTTTTGTTTCTTTGCTTTTCAGAATGTAATGAATAAGATGCATACAGTTTGTGTGCCCTACTCTGTTATGAAGACCTGTCCTCTCTCTTGGGTCCAGAGAGTACATGCACACAAAGGTAGTCACACACAACATCTACGCTTTAATTAAGTGACTTTTTAATTAGGATTTTAGGCTTTTTCAAACTGCCCCTCTAGGGTCATTTTTCTGTGTCTTGGTGGTTTAAATTTTATAGTTCAGTTACTGTGGACTTTGGTACTACATGTTGGTACTGTATTGTTCATCTCAGTGATGTGCTTTCCTAAGAACTGAGGTGAATTCTCCTGACTGACCCCAGGATTAGATATATTGAGTGTTGTGTTATCCAGTTTTCTTGGCCGGGCTACTGTGGCCTGTCCGGAGGGTGCACTCAGCAAACAGTTGTCTTAGTCACTTGTCTGAATGTGGTGTTTCCTTCCTGACAGCTAGCACAGTCTCTAAAACCTTTGGAATTTTCTTTGAGTGAGAATTATGTTCCCCCAAATAAGTAAACGTGTATATAGTATGTTAAATATTTACCATGTTTAATGTGTTTATTAACTTTATCCTCTTTGATTTATAGCCAAAGTAGCTTTAGTAAAATGTCGAGACTTGCACTGGGCTATGATGGCACATCGGGACCAGAGGGATGTGAGCCTGAGTTCTCTTCGAATGCTAATTGTGACTGATGGAGCTAATCCCTGTGAGTATCCCTGGAGTATGGGTCTAAGGGTGGCTTTTCCTTTATGGATTTAGCCCTCCCACACCCTCTTTCCTGTAGGTTTTTATTGTGTTTTGTTGAGACAGGAACTCAATACATAGTACAAACTGGTCTTAAACTCACTGTGTAACCCAGGCCAGCCTTGAACTTGTGATCCTTGTACCTCAGCCTCCTGGAGTGCTGGGGTTGCAGATGTGCACCACCATGCCCAGTTCGTAAGCTTTTAAAACCACTACTTGCTCATTTGCATCCTCTTTCTATCATGGCTATGGGTATTCCTTAGGTAAAAAGATAGACAGTGACTTGTAACCAAAATGTATGAACTTTATGTAAATACATGGGATGGACTTTAATAAAAGATGCAACGAAGCCAAGCCTGCATTTCGTTGGCTATGCTAGTTTCTTCAGGAAGAGTTGCTAAATTATGAACTGGCTGCATACTGCTTGCAGTGTTATCTCCAGTATTGATTTTGTCAGTTTGTCCGGCATAGTCTTATACCAGGTCGTAATTTTAAATAGTGTCAGTGATCTTGCATGTTGGATAAACATTAATTTGTCTTTGAAATTATGTCAGACCACCTCAGAGGCACAGTAAAATATTTGTATAGAATGAATGGTAGACAATATGAGTTCTCCTGAGAAACAGCTGTCAGCTTTCCACTCTACCCGTTTCATAAAGTAGTAGAGGTTAACAATTTCAGCTATCAAGTAGATCTGTTCCAACTCCTTAGGGTCTGTGTCATCGTGTGATGCCTTCCTGAGTCTGTTCCAAAGCCATGGACTGAAACCTGAGGCCATCTGTCCCTGTGCGACATCTGCTGAAGCCATGACTGTAGCAATCCGAAGGTACTGTGCAGGATGCTACATTCTCTTGATAATGTGCTCCAATTTGGGTGAAATGCGCAGGTGATGAGCAGGGCTGCTAACAGATTTTATGCGTCATAATCCTAAGAGTAAAAATTGCCTTAAAGTAGTTTGCAGTCTCATTTATTTTTCCCACTCTTGCCCTAGTATATGTAGTGTATATATAGATACATAGTATATGTAGATAGTATCTCTAGTGTGCTGAAAATTTACTTTAATTATTCTGATTTTATATTTGCAAAATTTTTTCTATGTTGTTTTGCTCTTTACAATTCTTAGCATTTTGGACTAGAAACAGGGTATTTGTGATTATTGCTTAAGTATGAAAAATACTTACACTGTAGTGTGTGGTTTTGTTTTTCTTTAAGACAAACTCTTGCTGTGTATCCCAGGGTAGCCAAGGCTGGCCTCAAACTCACTGCAATCCTCCTGCCTCAGCTTCCCAAGAGCTGGGATTATAGGCATGCATCACCATGCCCAGCACCAATATTTTTTTTTTCAGTACCAGGGCTCAAACTCAGGACCGTTCACTTTTGAGGCAGGTATGGCACTACTAAGCTAAATCCCCAGTCCTAACGATAGGTTTTTGTTTTTTTGGTTTTTTTTTTTTTTTTTTGTACCAGGGATCAAACTTGGGACCTTACGCTTGTAAGACAGGAGGCAGAACCACAGCTAAATCCCCAGACCCCGATATATATTTTTGTTGGGGTTTTTTTGGTACCATGGATCAAACTCGGGTCCTTGTACTTGCAAGGCAGGCTCCAGAACCACTGAGCTAAATCCCCGGCCCACCCCGATACATTTTTAATAAGTGATTGGATGTACTTTTTGCACTTAATTAAAAGTTTTCTGTGCTGGGTACCTGCACATTTGATTAATTTGGCATATTTTTGGTAGAGGAAATAAAATTTATTTTGTCACCAGAGGAAAGTTGTGTTCATGCATTAAGTCCATATTTTTCTCTTGATATAATTTAATTTGCCCAACTTAATGAGTTTTTTGTTGTTGTTGTTGTTTCTGTTTTTAGGCCTGGAGTTCCAGGGGCTCCTCTGCCAGGAAGAGCCATTCTCTCAATGAATGGGTTGAGCTATGGGGTAATACGGGTCAATACTGAGGATAAAAATTCAGCGCTGACTGTCCAGGATGTAGGGCATGTAATGCCTGGGGGTGAGTCATGAGGGGCACCATTTGAATTCTCATAAAGATAAGTCACCAGAGGCAGCAGAGCCTGAGAAAATAGGAGATCCCAAGCCAAGAATTCTAAATTCATTAGGCACAGTTTCTCTGAGGCTCACTGATAATTAAGTAGAATTATGCTGGCCTTTCAGAAGTATGTGATTGATCAACTGGGGAGACTTCAGTTGTACTTCTTCACACGGAAGATTAAGTACCGAGTGATACTAAAGTTACCAGGTTTTCGCTGTATTGCCAAAACATTGAGACTGATAGAAACAATGTGCTGCTTCCATGAGTGTTTGGATTTGAGCTGCCCAGGAATGTGTCCCAATTCATTTAACTTGTTTCTCATGTTTTAGTACGTCACTGTCTCAAAAAGCTTTAAATCAGTCTTTTTTTTGCAGTATTAGAGATTGAACCTGGGGCCTTGCACATGCTAGACAACCATTTTACAACTTAGATACATTCCTATGCCTTCAAAAAGCTTTAAATGTCAGATTATATTGTACTTAACATAGTTTCAGCTTTATTTTTAGTATTTCTTTTTGGTATTATCTGTGTCTCTGCTGTTGTTGCTGTTGTTGTTAGGGATTAAACCCAGGGCTGTGCATATACTAGGCAAGTATTCTACCACTCAGCTATACTTCTAGCCTCTCTTTGTTTATTTATTTTTTATTTTTTTATTTTTTTGGTACCAGAGATCAAACTTGGGACCTTGTGCTTGAGACAGGCGGCGGCACCACTGAGCTAAATCCCCGGCCCTCTTTATTATTTTTTTAAAGAATGTTCATTAGTGCATAATGATTGTGGGGTGTTGGTATATCTGTTTAGTATTCTTAATGCCACTCAGTAAATGTGAATTTTTCCTTTGCTAAGGTCTTCCAAAATTTCTCTTACTTATATTTTCTGTGCATCAGGGATGATGTGCATTGTGAAGCCAGATGGACCTCCCCAGCTCTGCAAAACGGATGAAATTGGAGAAATCTGTGTTAGCTCCAGAACTGGAGGCATGATGTACTTTGGGCTTGCTGGTGTGACGAAAAACACATTTGAGGTACATAGTATTAATACTTCCTAGGGGAAGTATTTGGTTAAGGTCAGCCACACAAGGGCAGACCCGCTGGCAGATAGGGACTACTGAGCATGGTGGTTGAGAGCTGGTGCTCTGGAGCTAGAGGACTCTGCCACTTACTGGCTAATCTTGTGTGGGTCACTGAGCCTTTCTACTCCTCATTTTCTTTATCTTCAAATGTGAGTAACAACGAAAGTAACTACCTTTCAGGTCTGTTTTAAGAACTAAATGAGTTAGTTTTATAAAGTGCTTAGAACAGCTCCTGACACATAGGAGACACTGTTGTGTATATATTAGATAAATGGTAAGAGGCCCTCACGAAGATCTCTGGTGAATTTTCTATAGTTTGAACTTCACAAGCTCAAAAAAAATAAAAAATAAAAAAATTTTTCCTCTTTTACAGTGCTGTGGACAGAACCCAGGGCTGCTTATACGCTAGGCAAATACTCTTATTACTGACCTACATCCCTAGCCCTCAAATATTTAATTAAGGTGGGGGACGTTGAGGGCAGGGTCTTCCTTTGTAGTTCAGTCTGGTCCTGAACTCACTATGTAGCCTAGGCTGGCCTCGAACTCACAGTGATCCTGCTGCCTCAGCCTCCCAAGTGCTCAGATTATAGGCATGCACCACCATGCTCAGCTTCAAAAATTTAATTTTGGCTGGGCATGGTGGCTCAGGCCTGTAATCCCAGCGTTCGGGAGGCTGAGGCAGGAGTATCCCTGTGAGTTGGAGACGAGCCTGGACTACATAGTGAGTTCCAGGTCAGTCTCAACTATACAGGGAGACCCTGTCTCCAAAAAAAAATTAATTTTGAGAGTACAGTGACAGTGGCATAGGTTATGCTAGATCAGTAATTTAAATTAAAGAACTGGTTTTTGTGGGGGTATTTTGGGTTTTTTTGGTTTTGTTTTTGTTTTTTTTGAGATAGGGTCTCACTATGTAATACAGTGACCTCACTGTTTTAGCCCAGGCTGGCCTCAAAGTCGTGGTAATAGTCCTCCTTCAGCCTCCCCAGTACTGGGATTACAGACATGCATCACCATGCCCTGCTTTGAAGAACTGTCTTGTCACAGGGTTCAGATTGCTCACATTTTCGGACTTTAAGTCAGATTGACTAATCATCTTTTCTGTGTGTTAGGCCATTTCTAGATGCTTGGGCTATATCAGGAAACAAAGCTCCTGGGAGAGCTTGACTTTGCAGTGAGACAACACATTGCTTTCCTGAAGGCAGTTCTGTCTGAGGCCCATGCTGAGATGTTTGCCTAATGAGCCTGGAAATAGAAACAGGAATTTTTATTTTATTTTTTATTTTTTTCTTTTGTTTTTGTTTTTGGTTTATTGGTACATTTTAAAAACAGGAATTTTTATGATTAGGATCAGGGTACCTTTTAGGGACCAAAGAAATTGATTTGATAGACATGTCTCCTTCACACTAGGCAGGGCTTATATGAACACTGCCAGTTTTCAGTTCTTTGAGCTTTTTTCTCTGTAATATAGACCAGTGATTCTCAAAACAGCAGGAACCTGTGTCTACCTTCCCATTTGAAAATGAACGCATATGACTATATACTGACAGATGTCACTAGTGAGGGAGTGGCATCCATGTGACAACATATCTGTTTTCTTTGGCCTGATGCCTTGAAAAGAGTTAAGATTTCCTGGACTGGCCACATCTTAGTGTTTATGTAACCTAAAACGCTTTACAGGAAGCATTAAATGTCTGGACAGGAGTGAGCATTCATAGAACTCCTCAGGCTTGAGTTTACCACCATTCTTTTGAATTATTTTTATAGATGATTACCTCTTTTAAATATGTATAAATTTGGGCCGGGGATTAGGTCAGTAGTTCTGCTGCTTGCCTCACAAGCACAAGGACCCAAGTTCAATCCCTGGTACCAAAAAAGAAAAAAAGCTGTTAACTCTTTGAATATCACTTTAAATGGGGCCGGGGATTTAGCTCAGTGGTTCTGCTACCTGCCTCACAAGTTCAAGGTCCCGAGTTCGATCCTTGGTACCCCCCCAAAAAAAAGTATAAATTTTTTTTTTAGCATATGCACATTTAACTATTTTAAATCTATTATTTCATCCCCTTTTTTGGTACAGTGGTAGGGATTAAACCCATGGCCCTGAGCACACTAAGCGTGTGTTTATCAGTAATTTACATCACCAGCCCGTTTCTCCTAAGTGTTTTTTCGATGCCTGTAATTGTCTTCTTTGAGTTTTTTGTATTAAAAACAAGATCTTAAATGTTAAAGGAGCAGGCATGGTGGCACATAGTTATAATCCTAGCACTCAGAAGGCTGAGACAGGAAGAGTGCTGAGAGTTCAAGACCAGCTTGAGCTACATACATTGCAAGACCCTGTCCAAAAAAAAAACAGTTAAAAAAGAGCCGGGTATGGTGGCGTATACCTGTAATCCCAGCACTTGGGAGGCTGAGGCAGGAGGATCACTGTGAGTTTGAGACAAACCTGGGCTACATAGTTAGTTCCAGGTCAGTCTCAACCACATAATGTAGTGTGACCCTGTCTCAAAAAAAAGAAAGAAAGAAAGACAAGAAAAAGATTTGGAGATGTAGCTCAGTTCAGAAAGCTTGGGTTCAGTCTCTGGTATCCAGCCCCACAACCCTCCAGTCTCCACAAGGTCTTCAGCAGTATCTAAAAATACTAGTAATACTTGATTTTATTAACCTTTCATAGGTAGGTGTGCTAGTGTATGCCTGGCCTGTAATCCCAGAATTTGGGAGATTGAGGCAGCAGGATCACTGTGAGGTTAAGGACAGCCCAGGGCTACATAGTGAGTTCAAGGCCAGTGTGAACTATAGAGTGAGACCACACACACGTTTTTAATACATAAATTTTCTTATGAAATTTTTTATTAAAAAAGTACATGCCTGGGCTGGGGATTTAGCTCAGTGGTTCTGCCACCTGCCTCGCAAACACAAGGTCCTGAGTTCGATCCCCAGTACCAAAAAACAAACAAAAAAGAATACATGCCTGACTACCCAGAACTCTCAGAATTTATATCAAAATGCTGGGTCCAAAGTAATGAAAAAATTTTAAAATCTCAATTATATATACAATGATAGCAAAGTAGAATAAAAATTCTAACCAGGACCAGGGATTTAGCTCAGTGGTGCCTGCGTCTGCCTAGGGATTGAGTTTAATCCCTAGTACGAAAAAAAATCCTAACCAAAAAAAGGAGAAAACTATTTCCTTGGTATTACAAATGAAGGTTTCTATTATTTTTCTTACTGAAGATTTATATTTAAATTATGAGGGTGTTTTCCAAATTGATCAACATTTCCCTAGGAGCAAAGGTCCAATAATGATTAGTCAGAAAATTAAAATACGCTTTAAAACTAAGCTGCTAGCCAAACATGGTGGTGCACACCTGTAATATGAGCATTTCAGAATGCTGAGGCAGGTGCAATTTAGTGATTCATAAGGCCCTGTCTAAAACTATGGAGAGCCGGGCGTGGTGGCACACGTCTGTAATCCCAGCACTCAGGAGGCCGAGACAGGAGGATCGCTGTGAGTTCAAGACCAGCCTGGGCTACATAGTAAGTTCCAGATCAGTCTCAACTACATAGTGAGACCCTGTCTCAAAAAGCCAAAAAATAAAAAAGTAAAAGTACATAGATACATAAACAGGCCTGGGGTGTAGGTCACTGTGGAGGCCCTGGGTTTAATAATCAGTAGCCCTGAAATGCTTCTAGAAGCCAGACATAGTAAGAGTCATTAAGTTAGCTGGGTATGTTGGTGCACACCTATAATCCTAGCACTCTTTGGTTTTTTTGTTTTGTTTTTGATGGGTTTTTTTTTTTTTTTTTTTTTTATGGGTTTTTTTTTTTTTGTCTTTTGTTTTTTTTTTTGGTTGTTTGTTTTTGTTTTTTTGGTACTGGGGATCAAACTTGGGTCCTTGGGCTTGCAAGGCAGGCGGTGAAACCACTGAGCTAAATCCCCGGCCCTCCTAGTGCTCTTAAGAGACTGAGAGACTGAACTTTGCAAGTTCAAGCCCAGCCTGGGCAACTTAACAACTTAGTGAGAACCTATGTCAAAAGAGTGGCAGGGACGGACACACACACACACACACACACACACACACACACACACACACACACACAGCTACCTAGGGAGAAAAGTTATTATAATAACATGAAAAACAAAGAACTAATTTTTCATCACTGTTATCTGATGTGAGGCAAATGAAACTCTGCCTTACTTTCTCATCTTTAAAATGGAAGTAAATGGACTATTCTATGAGGTTGACAGAAGAATTAATATAAAACAAGTAGACTTTTGCCTGGCACATCTGCAGGTATTTTATATTTGTAGGGGTTTTTTGAGGGGATTTTGTTCTTGAGACAGGATCTCACACTATGTAGCCTAGGCTGGATTTGAACTCATGGTAATCCTCCTGCCTCAGCCTCCCAAGTTCTGCGATTACAGGCATGTGTCACCACCACGCCCCCATGGTATTTTAGAAATATTGGTTCTGATTATTTCCCTACATAAGAAAAAAAATCCTAAAAGTTAAAAAGGAAAAGTTAAGCAGATAGAAAAAAGAGGAGCCAAGGATTTAGCTCACTGGCACAGCGCCTGCCTTCTGAGCACAAGGTCCTGAGTTCAATCCCCGGTACCACAAAAAAAAAAAGAAAGAAAAGAAAATCATTTTGGGTCGGGGATTTAACTCAGTGGTTCCACTACCTGCCTGGCAAGCACAACACCCCGAGTTCAATCCCCAGTACCAAAAAGAAAAGAAAGAAAAAAGAAAAGAGAAGAGATTCATATAAAAAAAAACTACTCACAGAAGAAATATAAATAGCCAGTATTGAATACAAAGGGAACTTAACCATATTACTAATAAAACAGTGCAGTTAACATAGCACTGGGAAAAGGAAAAAAATAGGAGAAAATGTAAAAATGGAATTAAGTGTTTGAAGGGGAGGAGGGGGTGAAGGGAGGGTGGGGACAAGGGGAAAAATGAGAACCAAGACCTGGCATGTAAAGGTGCAAGATCCCAGTAATGAATGGAACTGTACTGTCTACCTAGAATGTACCAATAAATTAAATTAAAAAAAAAAACAAAAAAACAGCACTGGGATCTTTTTGTACTATACTGGCAAAGTTTGGGAAATGGATATCACATAATAATTTGAAGTGTTATGGGGAAATTCTTGAAAAATAAATACACACACATAAACACACAGTGTTTCATTATATGGTTCAGGCTGGCCTTGGACTTGCAATGATCTGAGTGCTGGAATTACGGACGTGCCACCATGCTCAGCTATGATTATATTCTTTAATTTTATTTTTTGTTGTTGGTATTTAAGGTGGGTTTGGTTTGGTTTGGTTTTTATGAGACAGGGTCTCATTGTATAGTTCAGACTAACCTTGAGCCTAATTTGTAGCCCAGGCTGGCCTCAAACTTGTGGCAATCAGCCTCCTGAGTTTTGAGATCACAGGTGTACACCACCATGCCCAGTTTATCTTCTTCAATTTTTACTGAATCTTAAGAGTGCTCCATTTTATGACAGAAAAAACTAAGGCCAGGAACTTATTCAAAACCTACTTTTACTGCTAAGAGGCAGCGCAGAATTGACTGCAAGGACTATGCTGTTCTTTTCCCCATGGGATGGTGTATTACAGAGCTAGTTTCCAAAGCAGACTATGTCAGTTGTTTTCATCCTGGAAGGACATTCATATATTATGTGGGAAAAAATTAAGATAAAGAACAGGATATATAATATGATCTCTTTAAAGAAAAAAACCTGATATGTAATACATAGATCTTTTTAAAACTCAGGTAAACAAATTATAAATGTTTATCACTTAAGGGATGGGATTATTGCATTATGTAATTTTAATTTTTCAACAAGCACGTGTTGCTACTATAATTTTGTAATAAGATCTTTTAAAAATCAAATACATTTTCTAAGAAAAAACCTTTCTACTTCTCTTCCTTTTGTTTTTCAGGTGATTCCAGTGAATTCTGCAGGCTCTCCTGTTGGAGATGTGCCATTCATCCGGTCAGGATTGTTGGGATTTGTAGGCCCAGTAAGTGGTACTTTCATGTTGATTCAATATTAATATTTAACTTTTACCTCTGATCTAAATATTTGGACTTTAATTTATAGAACAGAAAAAATTCTGTCTAGCCCAAGGGAGTTACAGTGCGACTTAACTTCTATTTAGTTGCAGTTCTTCAATAAGAATATAAATTGGTGTCAGACATGGTGGTGCATGCCTGTAATCTCAGTACTTGGAAGGCTGAGGCAGGAGGATCGTCAGGAGTTCAAGGCCAGCCTGGGCTACATAATGAGTGTAAGGCCAGTCTTAAAATATATAGTGAGACAGGCTGAGGATTTAGCTCAGTATTTCCTCTGCTTGCCTTGCAAGCGCAAGGTCCAAAGTTCGATCCCCGTACCCCCCACCCCCAAAAAAAATAGACCCTGTCTCAAAAAGAAGAAAGAATAGGGCCAGGGATTTAGCTCAGTGATAGAATGAGTTACTTTTTATTGTTTCTCTTACCCAAGTTTATTTGACTCCTTTAAATAAGACTTTTTGAGGCTGGGTGTGGAGGTGCATGCCTGTAATCCCAGCACTCAGGAGGCTGAGGCAGGAGGATCGCTGTGAGTTTGAGACCAGCCTGGGCTACACAGTGAGTTCCAGGTCAGTCTCGACTACATTGTGAGACCCTGTCTCAAAAAACCAATAAATAAATAAATAAATAAATAAGACTTTTTGTCTGAAATACTTAGTGAGACCCTGTCCCAAAATAAAGCCCGGGAAGGGGGCATATAACTCCGTGGTGCTGTACCTGCCTCATAAGTACAAAGTCCAGAGTTTGATCCCCAGTATCAAAAAATAATTAAGTAAACAAATAAAAATAAAGGGTACCCTATACATAGGGGACAAAGCATTTTCATATAGATTATCAGCTGTACACTATGTATAATAGTAAATTTTTGGAATGAAAATGATTTCTCATTCAGCAGGTAGTCTGTATTTATAGGCACTAGGATTACAGAGCCAGCTAGGACCTGAACAGCCTGTTCTCAGGGTCATAGTGAGTTTGATGCACACATGAGGATGGCAGAGCCAGGCCATAAAGGGCTTACATGATGCAGTGGCAAGTTGGGCCTTGGTTTGTAAGTGATAGGCAGTCATCCTAGTTCAGTCCAGATCCCTCTATTCTTCTCTAATTATCTCCTCTCCTTTCTTCTCCTTTTAGCACATTAACTTATATAAGAGTAGATCTATTTTTATTTCATTTCTTCCCTACCATTTATGGTCTGAGGAGAGGGCATGGGTCTAGAAGACTGACTCTCCTAGAAATAATAGTTTGTACCTACTTTCTTGACTTCTTTATTCAACACCGAGAAATTCTCACAGACCTGCATCCTTTTAGCTTATTTCACTATTGAGGTCCAGGATGGAGCTCTTGAGTATCACATGTGCAGTCTAGCAGAGGGCAAGGTGCAATCCATTGTTTTTTTAGACAGGGTCTCACTATGTAGTCCAGGCTGGCCTTGAAAACATGGTGATCCTCCTGCCTCAGCTTCCCACATGCTGGAATCATGGATGTGCACCACCACACCTGGCCTTAACCCTCTCTTGAGTTCCCGAAACTTCTGTGGAGCTCTTCTGCTTCTTCCTTGTTATTCTGAACTAGTCTATGGGCACACCTAAAATGCAGTCTTATTTTGCTGAAATGGAGTCTTATTTTGGTTAGCTGTGCTCCACTAAAAATTTTCTATCAAAAAGTGGGAGGGGGCTTAGCTCAGCGGTTCAGTGGCCTGCCTTGCAAGCGCAAGGACCTGAGTTCAATCCCCGGTCCAAAAAAAAAAAAAAAGGATGGAACCTGGCTATAGTGCCACACACCTGTAATCCCAGCACTTGGGAGGCTGAGGCAGTAAAAGTCCTGTGATTTCAAGGCCAGTCTGAATTATATAACCAGACCCTGTCTCAAAAAAAAAAAAGGAGAAATGACCATTGGCAAACAATCAATGACTGTATCAGTCTCTTTTAGTTTTAAACACCAGAGCTTTCAAACTGCTGGAAATGGCTAATTCTCCTCTGACATTTGTGACAGTCTAGTAGCTTCTTGAGAACAACACTTATATCTTGGGCCGGGGATTTAGCTCAGTGATTCTGCCACCTGCCTCACAAGCACAAGGTCCCAATTTCGATCCCTATCTTACTCGCTTTGCCCAGTCACTGTGTGACTGCACAGAGTGTGCACTGTGCACAGAGTGTCACGAATGCGCTCACCTTAGCAGCATATTTACTGAAAATCCGTGCATCATTGAGGGAGTTCATTGGTGGTAACTCCCATGAAGATTCAGTCACTGAATATATGTAAATGGCCTGAGACATTTAGGAGTTTTTTTCCAGTACTGAGGATTGAACCTAGGGCAGTGGTGACAAACCTATGGCATTCATGCTACAGCAGCACACAGAAACCTCTGTCAGCATGCGAGCCAAGTAACCCCAGCAGCTGAACATTGAATGACAGTTGTTTTTTCTAAACTAAAACCTCAGTATTTACATTTAATTATAGTGTTGACACTGCAATAAGTAAGTGGGTTTTGGGTAGCAATTTAGGCACTCATTTGCCATCACTGACCTGGGGAGTGTTCCAAGTTACATCCCTAGCCCTCTTTACTTTGAAACAGGTCTCGGTAAGTTACCCGGGCTAGCATCAAACTTATGATCCTCCTGCTTTAGTCTCCTGAGTTGGTGGAATTACAAGCATGCACCACTATGCCTGGCACTATTTAGGAATCTTTTTTTTCTCTCCCCTGGAACAGGGTCTCACTATGTCCAGGCTGGCCTCAAACTCTCAGTGACCCTTCTGCCTCAGCCTCCCAAGTGTAGGGATTGCAGGTGTGCACCACCATATCTGGCTAATATGTAGGAATCTGTAGTAAGTGAGAAAAGTTAATTCACTCACATAAGTCTGGGAAGAGTATTTACTCAGTGATGCTTTGAGTGCTGTGATAGCAATTCCCTACAGCTGTTGTCTTCGTGCAAAAGAAAACCTTCTCTGATGTCCCTCAGACTTTTTTGGTTTTTTAAGACAAGGTCTCACCTTATAGTTGAGGCTGGCTTTGAAGTCATAATGTCACCCAGGCTGGCCTCAGACTTGCCGTGATCCTCCAGCCTCAGCCTTCTGAGTGCTGGGATCACAGGTGTGCACCACCACATATCCCGTCAGGCCTTTTCTATTAAGCTGTTTGTAATCTTGCCAAATGGAAACTGCCTTGTCGTTTTGGACAGTGTTTAATCCTTATAAACTTGAAACAGTGATTCTCATGCTCAAACTATTTTAATTTCCTCCTAATTCAGTAGTAAATTAATTAACATTTTTCTCCTCTGCATTCAACCTGTGAATAGTTACAGAAAATGAAGTAATACATGGTCATGGCCTGGAAAATAAGTTATACTTGTGTGAAATCCTAGTTGCTTTTTTATAAAATTCTTCCCTAAGAATAAATATGAACAAATTACTTCCTTATATACTGTAAATGTGATTGGCTATAGGATGTCACTGATTTTCCCACTGATTTCAGAGATGTCAGGATGTGGAAAAGTTCTTTAAAATCCATTAAATATGGCATTCTTTATTCATATATACATATATGTGTGTATATATATATATATATATATATATAGTGTACACTCATACATATGTATGTACACAAATTTTTAATTTTGTTTTTATCACATCAAACCCAGAGTCACAAACATGGTAGGCAAGCATCGGTCATGTTTTTTATGAGATTTATTTTAAAGCAGGAAGTAAGTGGTGTCACACACCTGTAATCCCAGCACTTGGGAGACAGAGGCAGGAAGGACGCAGGAGTGTGAAGCCAGCCTCGTCTAGAAAGTGAGACCCTGCCATACACACACACAAAATCAAGAAGTTTGCAATGTGTTTTCCTGTTTAAACCAGGGAAACCAAGGTAAACCATGGTTTTGTTTCAGGGCAGCTTGGTGTTCGTCATTGGAAAAATGGATGGATTACTAATGGTTAGTGGTCGAAGACATAATGCTGATGATATTGTTGCCACTGGACTGGCTGTGGAGTCAATAAAGACTGTCTACAGAGGACGGTGAGTGGTACAGGTTTGAGTACTAGCACTAGCGCTTCCCACAGGGTGACTGAGCTGTGAGTCTCTCCACATTGGGTTGCCTGGCTTTGACTGTGTATCTCACAGGGTCTGGTTCTTTGGGTGTATTTGGGAGGAATAAGACATAACTGTATCCTCTATTTCATATTTTAATTACTACTATTTGTTAAATCATGCAAGACCAAGGAGAGTTTCTGCATTTCTTTAGTACAGAGGTAGTGGTGTTCAGGGTAATGGACACAGGTACCACTTCTGTAGTTTATATCTAAGAATTATTCCTCATACTTTTTTCTGACTATATTATACTTTTTTTGGGGGGGTACTGAGGATTGAACTCGGGACCTTATGCTTGTGAGGCAGGCGGCAGAACCACTGAGCTAAATCCCCAGCCCTACGCTATACTATTTTGATGTATAGATTGTCATAGTCCATAAGTGCTAATAATTTCAAAGTCTCTAGAAATAGGCATCTTTTTTCTTTTTACATATTTGAGTAATGTCTTATTTAGCACTCTACAGTCATGGACATATATCTTCAAAGAACCTTAATCTTTTAGTTCTTTTTTGTGTGTGCGTGTGCGTGCTGGGGATCGAACTGAGGACCTTGTATTTGCAAGGTAGGCGTGGTGCCACTGAGCTAAATCCCCAGCTCTTTTAGTTCTTTAAGGAGAAAAATTAATGAAGCCAAAAAAGAACTGGTCCCAGAAATGTGTGGGTTTTTGTAATGTGGCTTCCTCTGAGATGTAAACTACACAGGACACTGGACCTTTTCTGTCTTTGGTCACAGTTGTGTCCCTAACACTCAGCACAGTGCCTCATACACAGTAGCTAATCTATAATTTGTGTGGATGGAAGGGAGGCAGGTGGTGAGCTGGCATGTTCAGCTCCAGTGACTTCCCATTTTTTCATGCATTTGTTCAGCAAATACTCATTGGATGTTTGCTACATCCCACTGTTTTAGATGCTTCAACTGTGGCTATGAACAAAATAAGCCAAGTCTCTGTACATCCTCATGATGGGAATCAGATGCGCAGTGATCAGGGAAATAAATACATGTGAGAGGATGATTACCACTATGTTTACATGGGGGTAGGAGCTTGCTAGCTTACATGGGGTGGTCTGGGAATGCCTCACTAGTAAGGGGACATTTGAGCGGAGACCTCACTCAGAACCAACTCCATCCTCCCTCCCTGGCCTCCCAGGCCTCTGTGATCTGCCCTTGCCTGCGTCTGACTCTCCCTCCTGCTCTCTGCTTCACCACTTTGCTCCAGGCACACTGGCCTTCTCGCTGTTCCTCAAACCTGCCAAGCTCGTCCCTACCTCAGAACCTTTTCGCTTTCCGTTCCTTCTGCCTGGAATCCTCTTCCTCCAGATCTTCACGTGGCTCGCATCCTCACCTCATTCAGGTCTCTGCTCCAGTGTCCACTCCCCAGGGAGGCGCTCCCCAACCACCTGTACCCCACTCTCCCTGGCCCCTGCCCCAGGGTGCTTCCTTGCACATGTGGCAACATGGCCTTTTTCATCCCTCATTGGTTTTGTTCTGTCTCTAACACGTAAGCTCCATGTAGGAAGGAACTGTGTTTCGTTCATCACTTTGCCCCTAACGTTCATGGCAGTGCTGCTTAGTACATGTTTTTGAATGAATCCATCTTCATTTTGGTGATTGTGATTGCACATTTTCTTTTCTAAATTATTCATCTCTGGGTGGCATGGTGGGGATGTCTGCTCTCTAATTCCGGTTAAACAGCGAGTAGGACTGGTTGTGAAGGGAGTCTGATGTGTTTGATCTGTCTCTCTTAGAATTGCTGTGTTTTCTGTGTCTGTATTTTATGACGAGCGCATCGTGGTAGTTGCAGAGCAAAGACCTGACGCCTCCGAGGAAGACAGCTTCCAGTGGATGAGCCGCGTGCTGCAGGTGAGCGCACCCTGGCCTGTCTCCCTGTGGAGGCACTTTGATGGGCTGCTTGTGTTTCCTTATTTCTTTTCTTGCCAGTCATGGCTCACATATTCTGGGAACTACTATCAAAATCAGATAACTGATGCCATTTCTCCTTGGGGATGGCGCAGTGTTTTTCTTCCCACATTGCCAAGAGCAGCTGAACTGATTTGCCTCAGCAGGCTCATTCATGCCCTAGTATTTATAGATGTGCTCACTGTCCGTGTGTGGAACATACCCTTGACTGGAATCAGCTCACTTGGCAGCACTTAGTCACGGTCTCGCAAATGCCATGAGTGGAGCTTTGCTGTGGAGTTAGACGTTGTGCTAGGTGAGACAAACCATGAGGGAAGGAAAATGACTTCGGCTTAGTATCTGGGATTGTTTCTAGTAGGGAGCAGACTAAAACTGTGGAGAGGACCTAGAGTTTATTAAGAATCATGAATTTAAATCTCCTTACCCCAAGGCAGGTGACTGAACTTCAGGGTTTATTTCCTAACCTGTAAAGTAGGTATAAATGATCTCTATTACAGAGGTGCTGGAAGGAGTAAATGCGATAATGGGGTGCATAGTTCCTCACTAAGGATGAGGATTCTTCTCCTCCTCCTCCCTCCTCCCTCCTTCTTTTTTTAAGTGCTGGGGATTGAACCCAGGGGCATTCTCACCAGTCTTCTTCAGCTACATCTCCAGGCTGCGGCTGCTGCCGCCATCACCTCCTCCTCACTTTCCTTCTGCTTCTGCTGCTGGTGGTGGTGGTGGTAGTTCTTCCTCCTCCGCTGCCATCTTCTTGTCCTTGTTCTTCTGGTTTTTCTTCTTCTTGTGCTTGTTATTGTTGTTGTTCTTCTGCTTCCTGTCCTGGTTCTTCTTGCTTTTGTTCTTCAGTTTTACTAAGTGGCCTAATCTGGGCTTGAACTTGTGATCTTCCTGCAGTATTGAGAATGATTCTTTCTCTTTTTCTTTTTCTTTTTTTGGTATCAGGGATTGAACTCGGGACCTTGCACTTATAAGGCAGGTGGCGGCCCCACTGAGCTAAATGTCCAACCCCGCTTGATTATTATTAACATTAAAAAATAATGACCAGGGCGAGGGATTTAACTCAGTGGGGCTGCCGCCTGCCTCGCAAGCACAAGGACCTGAGTTCAATCCCTGGTACCAAAAAATATAAAAAAATAATAATAAAAAATAATGACCATAAGCATTATCACTAATAAGGGTATGAGAGAAGCTCACTCTGTCTTAAATAACATTCCCTGTACTCTGTCTCCACTCTCTCTTATTTTTCTACTTAGCGTTTATCACCATATAAGTAGATAGATGTTTATTATCTGTTTTCTGATCCACTGTAAAGACCCACAAAGGTCAAGATGTCCCTGTCTCTGCTGTTCTCTGCTCAGACACCTGCCCCTGATGCAGTGCTTACACTTACCGTAGTAAGTATTTGTCAGCCAACTGGATGGTCTGAAAAAAGCCTGGTGCCCTTGCAACAACACCTTATGTTATTGGACATGTTCCCGGTGTCTTTAACTTTTCTGTCCGAGACATTTGCATTTATTAGAAAGTATGCAAGCAAACATGAGATAAATGAGAAAGTTAATGACTTTAGAGGTCCCCCACCCACAGCCTGGACATTTTCTTGTTTTTGTTTTGAGACAGTGTCTCACTATATAGTTCAGGCTAGCCTTGAGCTTGTTAGGTAGCCCAGGCTGGCCTCAAACTCATGGTGATCCTCCTGCCTCAGCCTCCCAAGTACAGAATCATAGATGGGTGCCACTACACCCAACTTGACTTTTCAGATTTGTTTCTGTCCTCAGTCAGTCATTCTGAATTACCAGCTAATCTAGCATAGGCTAATTATACTAAAAAAATCAGAAAGGAAAACTGAATGTAGGATTAGGCTGATCTCTGAAAGATGGCTAAAAGGCAAACACGCAAAGGGAATATTACAGACCTGCTTTGTTTTGTAGAAAATGAACTTTGGGGCATAATGGTGGAAACGTAGTGAATTACACATTTATTTTCTTATTACCGAGAAATAAATATATTTTAAGTTCTCAAGATTTTGTTTAGCTGGGCATGGTGTCTCACGCCTATAATCTCAGCATTCGGGAGGCTGAGGCAGGAGTATAGCTTTGAGTTCAAGACCAGCCTGGGCTACAAATTGAGTTCCAGGTCAGTCTCAGCTACATAGTGAGACCCTGTTCTGCCACCTGCCTTACAAGCGCAAGGTCCCGAGTTTGATCCCTGGTACCCAAAAAAAACAAAAGTAATTTTGAACCAGAACACAAGTATTGGAAAAGTGACAAATAGGCAGTCCTTTCTTTTAGGATGAATGTTCCTGTACTATCAGCAGTAGTTTTTTTAGGAGCTCACCTTCAGTATACCTTTCTAAAGCCCAGCTCTTTCAGTCTTTTTGCTTTATATCATTTATGTAATACTCAGACTGTGTGAAAACAGTAACAAGAACAACTGTGTTGAACCTTGTACAAACAAACACAGTTGACTCTGAGCGAGCATAGAGTGACGTTGCTGGTAGCAGAGTGAAGTCAGGGTGGCCTGGCTTAGGTAGCGCTTCGCAGGGGCAACACATGGTAATGTGGTGAATCACTTAAATGGGAGCCCATTTAAAAAACTTTGTTACAGATTTCAACTGTTTTGACAGATACTGTTTAAAAGAGAACGTGTTGAAGCTGATAAATCACTAGCCCTACACATTTAGATTCTTTTACCATCCTTCTGTTATCTCTGCCATAGTTGAAATATGTGTGGGATCTTAATGATTTTCTTTAGATTTTAAGACATAGGAGATCACAGTGATCTACACTCTAGATCTAGTATGGATAAATAAAATCTTACAGTAAAATTGTAGATTATGCTAGGAGTATGTTAAATGTGGTTCAGGTAATCTCACTTAATATTTTTCTTTGAATTTTTCTAGGCAATTGATAGCATTCATCAAGTGGGGGTCTATTGTCTTGCTCTGGTACCTGCCAATACATTGCCAAAAACGCCACTAGGAGGGATCCATATATCTCAGACCAAACAGCTCTTTTTGGAGGGATCTCTACATCCTTGCAACATACTTATGTGCCCACATACGTGTGTGACGAATTTGCCAAAGCCCCGGCAAAAGCAACCAGGTAATACACTGGCTTTCAGGCCATAACTTTATAATGGGAACTTTAAGAAGCTAACACGTGATGGCATAAATCTTTGTGTAGAATTTGACTTTACAAAGACCAAAATAACACAGGAATGGCATTAGCTGACAAAAAACAAAGAGGATGAGACCCTGCAGAATAGGCTTTATTGGGTTTATTATTGTCTCTTCCAAGTAGTATGCTTGCAATTCTCCTGGGTATAAATTGTGGGTCAAGATGATCTGAATTCTACGGGTACAACTAAAGGTACAACTAGGTAAAAAGAAAGTACCCGGGGCCAGGGATTTAGGTCAGTGGTGCTGCTGCCTGCCTTGAAAGCGCAGGGTTCTAAATTTGATCCCCAGTACAAAAAAATAAAGTGACCTTTGGGCTGAAGGTCATATCACACTGGTTTATCTAGGTGTTGTTATCTTATCTGGCTGGGGTGTAGGAATCCAATCCAGGGCTTTCACATGAGCTACGTTCCCAACCTTTGTTTTTTGTTTCTTTTTCAGTACTGGTGATTAAACTCAGGACATTGCACTTGCGAGGCAGCGGGTGGCACCACTGAGCTAAATCCCCTGCCCTGCCAACTGTTGTTGAGATAAATTCTCACTGTTACTTTTATTAGGCTGGGCTTGAATTTGCAGTCACCCTGCCTCAGCCTTCCAGAGTGCTGGGATGACAGGCATTGACCACCACACCTTGCTTCAGTTACCCTTCTCGTACTGACACTGTGTATAGAGTTAAAGTAAATGTGCTATTTGTCAGTTTCTGCCAGTGGAGAAAGGGTTTACTGAGGCTAATATTCTAAAGGACTGGTCAAAATCAAAAATTTGCATTATTGATCAGGAAATGTATAGAGAGGGCTGGGGATTTAGCTCTGGTTCCGCTGCCTGCCTCCCAAGTACAAGGGCCCGAGTTCATTCCCCAATACCAAAAAAAAAAAAAAAAAAAAG